GAACGAACCAATCAAAATGCGCGCATCATTCAGCTTGGCATTTGATCCTTTAACACCTAAGAGTGACTACCATCTAATTTCTCCTTACAAAAATACTGCTGAGTCGCTCATTTAAGATCATGAGAATAAAAATGATCTCCAACTAGAGAAGCTCTTGATTATTAAACAAATTCTCCTTGTCAGTACCTTAGGGAATATATAGAGAACAGTATGGAGAATATGCATACTGATGTTAGGGTGTAAAGGGTTAAATGAGTTTTGATTCACAGTGAGGATGTCACCCAATAAAAAGAAACCAGGACAACACCAACATTCTGAACGAAAAAGATCGCTCAAAGAAAGATTCATAAAACGGCAGCGCCAAAGAATTAAGCTTTTACGAGACGAGACGGGTAATCCCGCACGAACGAGACAATCCCTTAGACTTCTGCTAAAAGAAAACGGCACATTCATAGTTTTTGACAACGAAGACCACGTAAATATTAGCATTATTACTCGGATATCTGACGTAAAACGATAACAATTGCGAGGAGGGCATAGAGGAGTAAATTGATGATGTGTTTTGGTTTCCCGCTGTTTTAGTCGGTCCACCAGCCTTCATATTACTTTTCACAACACCTCTGAAAGTAACTAAACAATAAAAACACTGCATAACAAGTAGGAGCCTAACTGAGGGATCAATGTCTGGAAAAAAATAGGGCAGATTCCAAAATAGCTATCAATAACAATCATTGTGTTTAAAGCCCCACATATCCAGCTGTTTTCAGTCACCCTTTTGGTACAGAGGAAAAAAGTCAGAAAGCACAAAAGGTTTAGCAATTCTGTTTTGAGACAAACTTCATTTACAATGTACACAGCAAGATGAAAAGTCTGTATCAATTTCGCACGAAAAAAAGTTAAAAGTGCAAAGTATTTACACTACATCCAGGTTTAATGATTTTTGTGATTCAGAGAAACTTAAGCAAGGAAAATTAAATGTAATGAGCTGAAAAAATTGACAATGCGGAAAATAACATTTGTGTGCGTGCGTTGAGCTTAAAGCCATATTTCATGCATTTTGAACACGATTTCGTTCTTTACATTTTTCTTCATCATAATTTTGTGTTCGAGAACTTTAATATATTTTATTAGCGTGCGAATTTTATTCAAGAGAAACTTGGTTTTGTCCATTTAAAAACGTAAACATCGATAAAACAATGAATGTCATAAAGATCCGTTGAGGAGGAAAGGAATATATACATAAATTTCATAACATTATGCATCAACGAAAAAAACAGAATAAATGTTCCTAAGGAAAATGGTGAGTTCATGGAAAATATAAGCGACATGAGGAAAGATTAGACAAGAATAACTTTAAAAGGAACTGACCTAAGTACAATTGTTAAATTTTCTTGGAATTCGATTGAAGAAAAAGCGATTCTGCAATCTAGATAAGTCTTTAGACAAACAACTTTCCAATTCACCAATTTGCAGAGCGTAACGAATAAAAACAGGACTGTTTCATAAATTGAAGGGAAAAACGGCCGCCTTGAAGTGTAGTTATGTTGAAGGTTTAGTACAACATTACAATCGGATGGTAAAGTGCAGCCACCCAAATTGTCGCAATAACAAAAGATTTACGACATGGAAAGTTCCTGAAAAAACTAGCTTCTGCTCGCGTGCATCATTTAAATTTCATCCCCAATGCCTCTAGAGAGTAATTAAAATAAACTGCGGTATTCGTGACATTAAAAATCCACTGCAGTGCTACGTTTTTATGAGTCAAGCTAGACCGCATTTGAGATAAAAACGCAAGAAATCTGATCAGAGATCGACAGACCACAGTTCAGTGCCCTAATTTGAACATTCCCTTCAAAGTTACAATCCAAAACACGACAGATTTTAGAGCAGCTAACCGAGAAAGTCGCCAAAATCAAATATAACATCCAACTTCTTGACACGATAAAAACACAATTCCAAAACAAAACAAGTTACACAGTTTACCTGTCGAAATAATGTAACATGACTTGGACGTATGTAGATGAACATCCCTTTCCTGAGAAGGAATTTAAACCACAACCATTCTTCTCTGGGATTCCCGGGAAAAACAGTTCGAACCACGTAACGTCTGTAAACGACTACTTCGATTCGTAACCGGCGACATGAACAAGTGGTTCGGTGCTTTGTCTTAATACGCCGCATGTTGTTAGCAGCTTTAATCAGATTGCGGCCGTAACCTTGTGTGCATCCATGATGTCTTTAGTACTAGCTGCTTCTCCTTTTCGAAGCCACATTACGCGAAAACGTAGTGGTAATTCTTTAACTTCTGCTTTGGTTACTTAAAAGGGTCAATTTCGCGCAGCCTGTCAAACAGATTCACGCATTTTCTTTCACATGCCCGCCTCGTCTTTCAGGAACCAGACGTGAGAGATAATTATGCGTAATTCATGAGTTTTCTTTCGATCTATTCAGCGCATTACCATATAACCCGGAGAACCAATCGTCTTTCAGTCGCTTTGAATTTTCGAAGCAATAAGAGGGTCGTCAAGCGGTCCAAAAAGTAACCTATTACTTCATATACAAATTCTGAATATGTTAACAGAGTAGTGTTTGGTTGCATGTGTTTACAGTAATAAAGGAATTGAGTCAAAAAACTTGCTTCTGGTTGAACGACAACGGTGACACAAACATTCATGAATAATTGATAGGAACGGCTGTAAATAAAAGCAAAAAAACCTTGAAACAGCTGTTAAAAGCGCTGTTCTTTCATTTCATACATAAACACACCACCTCGGCGACTTTGAATGTCAGTGAACGGAATTAAGATGTCAAAATTATCGTCAAATCTATTCGCTTTCCGGTATCGTTGGTGAATAAAGAAATACTTGTCCAAAATAAACGACAGGTACCATTTACATAACAGAACTACTTTTAATACAAAAAAAATATTTAGTTCTGCCCAGCTAGGGTTTGTGTATCACTAAAATTAATTTTTTGTCACGCTTGTAAGTCATTTATTCATTGAATTTTACACACTACGTCTTGCTTCGTACCTCGCAATGAGTTGGAAAATGTGAAAGCTAAGTAAAGATTATTCGAGATTTTACTTGAAATCAAAGCTCAATATTTATGCCGTGACCTGAAGCTCTTCGCTCGATTGGTCATGCATTCCGCACGTACAAGAAAAATAGTCGTTAAAAAAAAGTTTCGAGATCACAAGTATAGTGGCGTTTTCGACAAAGTATGGCGTTTAAGAAAATTGTCTGAGAGTAATTACCTCAAATAAAACAACGCGAACACTCTAGTAACTTTTGAAGCGATAAAAAGCTACAAGTCAATTATCTGTCAGATTTACCCATAGAAATTGAATTAAGCCCCCTGGGCAAACGCGATCGCCAGATTATTCATTGTGATGTGAAAGGCAAGCGGCCAGGTTGCTAAGCAAGATTCAAAGTAGCAAGAAGATCGATTCCGAAAGGAAAAGTTACTTTTTGGGATCTGCAAACACTTCCAGAGTCACGATTTCATATATACTTTTTAAAAGCAGAGATAAAAACTTTAGCTTTCTGGAACACACATCCCCTTTCAACTATAAATTTCAATCAACTTACGTTTCCAGGTTCCAAGTGTTTGGGGTGATTCCGCGAGCCTCTAGATCCATACGATCTCTCAGATGATATACTGGCCACGTCACTATCGTCGTCATCGGAACATTGAGAACCAAACGAATATTTTCGTCTGGATGGGCTTTTATGCTTAAATGAGAATTAAACGGAAATAACTTAGTATTCTTAGGAGAGCAACAAAGCCTACTTGAGTTCTTCCTTTTTACTTTTAAGAGGAATCTCCGGTTAAAGGACACCCTAGGGACAAAAGAAAACGTCCCAAACAAGCCCTCATTTTAGCTCTGCATAACGAGATTTCTAAGCCAGCGGAAGGACTGGAGACAAGTCGCGAGGTTCACTGGGGGTCTGGTACTGATAACATACCTCTCGCCTGCTCGCGTTCGGAGAAATATATGCAACGCTTTTAAAGATATTGTGAGAGGGACTTACCCAAGCGTTCCAAACCGCTTCTTCAGTGACACCTTTACCCGTGGACTCGCCTTGACTTGACTGTTTTACCATTGGTGGATCTAAGAGGTTAAGGAAAGAGGGCATTATTTGAATAGCTATGCAAGCACGCGCTGATCATGGCCAAGGTTCTTGACTTTGAGAATGCGATAAGGGAGGAGAGAGAGGCAAAACTAAAAATCTGCCTCCAATCGTTCACGCAATCTCACGGGGTAGATAATTGATTATGGGATGTTTTGAGGAGCGACGCAGGGAGAGGGAACATTTACTTCTCATTTTCGTAGCGAGGTAGCCTTCATTTTCAACGAGCGCTCGAAAATCACCAGTCACGCAGGCCATCTCATGACTCGTCATCTTTCCTCCTCTTTAGTCACTCAAGACATTCTCGACATTGCTGATTTTAGGGGGCGAGTTGCTAAAGAAACTGCAGTGCTGCGTCGTTGGGGTATTACAATGATAATTTGGTTTTATCAACTGAGATTAGAATGTAAATTGGCCACCGTAGGGTTTCTAAAGCTGACGTTTCGACCGTTAGCCCTTCATCAGAGCCATTCTAGCTGAGCAGCTCTTTTCTTCAAGCAATGATTTTTCACGTTCTTTTTTGTTCAATCTGTTTAGATCTTCTCCATCCTTTGCTCTGGTTATTTTTACGTCCCATGTGTTGTTCTATCTCAACGAGCCAATAATTTGCAATTTCTTTCAAGAAGAAGGCCATTTTGCACAATGCAAAAAGTAACACTTCCTCTCCTTGTCTCCCGCCCAAAGTCAAAGCCCTACTCACTGTGTAACGGACTTGTCTTCTTCATCACCGGTAAATGACTTGGACTGTATCCTCGCTCTGAACTCATTCGCCTGTCCCCTCTCCGGTCAGGACTGGTGTCTCTGCTCGCTCCGCGCGAACTCGCGCGGGAGCTCGCGCGTGAGCTACATTGAGAAGCAGTTCGTGCACGACTGTGGAAGAGAGAACCGTGGAAATAAAAGATTAAATCTGACATAAGAATTGAAGCAGTCACCGTCTTTTGGATGTAATCGTCTGGACGTGATTAAAATGGGGGATATTGAAGTATGATGAAAGTAAGAGTTATTATTAAATGTCATATGTTATCGATATAGCGCAGTTTTTTAATGATTTCCACAGTAGCAAAACTGAACGAATCAGAACGCATATTAAAGAACAATACGCGGGAAAGTACCGCGACAAGCGCGGGAAGAAATGAAGCTTTTAATACAAGCATGGGAAAAGTCACCGTCATGAAGCACTGATATATAACTGGTGATTGGCTGAATGGATAATCAACCCTTTGTCTGATTGGTTAAGGCAGAGAGCATGACCATTAAGGACCAATTAGACTTCAGCTAGCACAAACCAAGGCATACGTAGCACTTAAAGGGGCAATGAACTAGGGTTTGAATATAACTTTACTAAGGATTAAATCGACGAAATGTTCCTGTTAGAGAAATTCAATAATGCATTTCTTCTTCAGCATTAACTTGATCACGGGCGTTACAATCGTTACAATCATTGGCAAAAAAACCTTTCTTAGAACTGAATGAAAGTTTTCGTTTCTTGTTCCCGACAATAAAAAAATTCATATATGCACAACGGACTATGCTGTGTGTTAGTTCCAGCAATCTCTCTAGGACAAGAACTGAGTTAAAAGACAAGGCAAGAGTTCTGTCACAGAATTCCCAGGAGAAGCGAGGTTACTCACAAGCTCGGAACAGGAATGTAGGAGACAGAAGAATTAGGAGGCCGTCTGGGAAGAAACTCGAAGCTAAGATGCCGAGAAAGACTGCAATAAAAGACAATGAGACCACAACGATCAGTTGTTCAAGAAGATTATAAGAATGAGAATGGACAAAGTACGAGATGAATGTGAAAATAAAGGTGTTTCGTTCGCAAGAATGACGAGAAGAAAAAACTATGTTGTGGCATGAAAAGTTTAACAGAAAAAGAAGCACAATGAAAGATTTGATAGTTACGAGAACACAGAGGAAAATCAACAGAATATCAGCGGAAAAGACAATCTGTGTGTAAAGTAACATAACCAAAACAAATTTTTTTAATGGAAAGATCAGATAAAAAGTTGTTAAGAAAACTGGAAAAATAAAAGATGCGATCACAACGAGAAAGTAACGCAAAGTCGATAGATAATCAGTAGAATCCATAGTCCGTAGCTAAAGTAACAAAACCGAAAGAAAAAGTTGTACTGCAAAGACGTCAAAAAATCTTACAAAAGCAAACTGAAAACGCAAGAAAACAAGTGCTTTTTCTTAGTAAGCTAAGATTTAAAAAGCCTTCTGTTACACTAGCTTCGATAAAATACAGTTAGGATTAGTAGTTAGATTAAGCTGTTTATTTAGTTTATGTTATTCTGTATTAGAGCTGTAGTAAAAGTAGTTTACAAGTTAAAAGTTAGTACTTACTGAAGTTTAGGACTGGGAACAGGAAGAAAAGATCGAGAGGGAGGAGGGTAGGGTTGGGGCGAGTAGCTCCTAGGACTATTTAGACTCTCGTTGCTGCAATTTCGAGCAACTCTGGAAAAGAACGTAAAATAAATTATCATAAATTATAACCAAATAAGGTAAACGGAGAACTGATTATGCGTTAGTTGTGCGCCGTTTAAGGAGCAAAGAATGGAAGGTAAAAAGACTCGAGGAAGGTTGTAAGAACGATGTTGTCGTATGAATTGTTGGCGACTGGATACAACATCAAGAACACAATGGACTGTACTCACAGAGTTTTACGAACGGGGAGGAAAGAGGGAGAACTAGAGGGATGGGAGTGGGGTGTATGGCTGTCAATACCAGCCAGATTCTCGTTGCTGCCATGCCTAGAAACACTGGAAGAGAACCGACAACAACGAAATTAATTTACACAAAATAACACCAAAACATGACAACTGTGAATCCATATAAGAGACTATCTGCCACATGAAACTGGTTTATACTTCTGTGCACCTAAAGGGATTTCAATAACTTTTTTCATTAGCGGCTGGAAAAAGAGCCGTAAGGCGAGATCCAAACACGAGAGCTTGTTAGCAGGCTAAACAGACGGCGATAAGAGGTCTTATGGGCAGCAGTAGACCACTGGTAACCGGGCTCTATTGAATCAACACCACTTAAACACTTTCTCTTGCAGAATAAGGACCCGAAAGAAAATCTTAACTCACTGAAAAACTGATCGCCCGACTTACAAATAGCATTGAATGAAGAAAGAGTTTTCATCAAGTCCAGAGACGATACCTTGTTGGAAATGACTTGGTGAGAAATAATAATTTCCAATGATAACGTCCTCTCTATATTTAAGTCGGCGCCACGTTTGTCGAAAATTAAGAGCTATCTTTTAACCTCTTACCAAAAGCCAAATTCCCCTAACAACATCTATAGTACGTTGGATCAATGATTAGGAGAATCTCTATGCCTATGAATTTACCTTGGAGTGGGTATCTTGGTTCTACTTATGCTTTCTCTCCGACAGTACACCTCAGACCTCTCCCGAGGAGGGAAGGTGGACAGCAATCGTTCGGGAGACTGGGATCGACTTCCAGCTAAAAAAAAAAAGAACAAATGAATGTTAGATTTTGTTTATTTATTAATTTTTAAAATTTTCATAAGTAGATTCATTGTTCTTTATAAAGTTCGTTTTCGTACTTACGTTGAGAAACAGTGCCCCTGGAAGGGTACTGGGGTCGAATTTGGCGCTGCTGCACGTGATGGCTTTGAGGTGACGTTCGAGGTACTGCGCGGATCTTAGAACGCGCACTGGCCCGTTCAGCCGACCGCTGGTCGATATTACTGAGGGAACGACCGAGGGAAGCCATGGGAGAGAGAAGAGAGCCTGTTGCCTTGGATGCCACAGCATGACGGGAATCTAAGAAAAAAGATCACAAAAAGTGTAACTAAAGCAACTCAAAGTAACCTTTTCACTGCCAATCTTTCAATTTTAACTTTCCACACTACCTGCAGTACTTTTGATAAAGTGAGATTTTTTATTTTTAAACTCCCTAGCGCCAGTTAAGATTTAAATTTTCTAGCATTCGTAACTATTCTACAAAGTAGGACATTAGATCATCGTCACCGAGGGCAAACACAAATTTCGGAAAAAACACTTCCTTCTTAATGGAGCGAAAATTCTTTATGAGATGCCTTCTGAAATTCGGAATGCTCCTGAAAGACGTAAAGACGTTCTGTCGCAAACATTTTCTAAAGCGGTTCTAATTTTTAGAGTTTTTTTTCTAGTAACTTAATAGAAGTCAGATTTTTTAACGTAATTTTAGTTTTAATATATTGTAATCATAATTGTATTTTGATACAAGGCCTCTAAGGATACCAGCCTCCGAGCTGAATAGGTTCAATAAAACAGTAAACTAAGTAAAGCAGTAAACCTGCAAAACTATAAAACTGAAAAACAGGTAAGTAAACATTGGATTAGTTGCATAGCGATTTAAACAATATTTCCTGTCCTTGGCAGGAATATATCGTGTTCTTGGTAACTTCCTCGTCTACCCTTAAATTCTTGAAGAATTTTCCCTGAGAACTTCCTTGTAACCCAGCGCCTTCACATTGCCACACTTTTTATCTTACCTTCTCTGTGAGTGGTTCTCGCGGCACGGCTCGAGGCTCCCACTGTCTGACGGGAAGGTGCTGTGTGCCGTGAGCTGTAAATAACAACATGTGAGGAAAACTCAATCCTACTTAAGGTAATTTGGGATATTTGAGCTCTCCGTACACTATATATCGACCAGTAATTAGATATTCACCGCCTGGCGGCAACCCCATCACTCAAACACATACTTGACATGGTTCTAAAAAAATTTGAAACTATATTGAAATAAATTAATGTATCTGTAAACATTGCTCGACGGTCGATATCCATCGACATACGTCAACAATATTTACATGGCGAGTTATTTACACAATAGATTCAATCCTTCTATTATTCCTCAAAGCCGCACCACCAGCAGAAATCATTTTGCGGTAAACTATTGTAAAGTAATCCAGGATAACAGTAAAGCATACAAAGTCTACCTAATTGCCGAAGAGAAGAAGAAAGAAAACCGATGTTCTAGAATTTCTAAATCAGCCGATTTCCATTGCAAAGCCTATAAATGTTAACTTTGCAATATCGTGTCTTGGCGCACATATCGGAAAGAACTGCTTCAAATACTTCTCGTTTCAACCGCAGAATTCATGCATGTCTATTAAATAACGCCACGTGAAACGAACCATAACTTGAAATAAACGTAGTTCTAAAATTTAACATAAAAAGTAAACGAGATTCGATTCAAAACACTTTTAGCATCAAAGGAAATGCGTTATACACTATGAAAAATTAAATGCAAAATCGCTTCATAAATAACGTTGCTACCTGCTGATACATCATTGCTGTATTTTCTACGCTAAGCAGGAGCAAACATTGAGCTATTCAACTGAACAGCTATACAAAGAGTTCTAATTAAGATTACTCGCCATTGTACACGACTCGCACACCTCGAACAGCAAAATCTGCACGAAAAATAAAAACCCAACGTATCAACGAACACTTCAAGAGGCATGTTTAATGATTCCATACCCTTAAGCAATAATTACCAGCCGTGAAATCGCGAAATTAAAGATATAAATAACCCTTTTATTTCTTTTCATGTGTTCTGCAAACTTACCTTGTCGTGCCATCTTCGCTAGCCGCACTGGATGAGCGCACTCTGTTTCCAGAAATTGGCTTGCTCGGTTTCACAGCAACAAATCGTCCGGACGATGAAGTTTTTACAGGGCCAAGATTGGAAAGGTTACGGTCATTTTCGAGCTGTTTCTGCTTTGAGGCATCGAACGATTTCAACAAACTGTAAGGAGAAAGGGAAAAAAATTAATATGTTCAACAGACTATGAAGTTTAAAATGAAATTAAATCCGGCAATCAAAGAGTTGCGCTGTACTTGTAGTAGTACAGCCATGAAGGTTGGTCCTCTATGTAGTGACCGCTTCGCCAAACTCCTATCGGCATTGTGCGAAGAAAAGACAGCAATTCATTGACGAAACTAGTTGCAATCTATATTTTTGCTTCAGTTTACGGCAGCCAGCCTCAAAAACTCAAAACTTTACTACCGGTACGAACAAAACTACGATGAAAAAAAATTAAGTTGCCGACCCTCACATGACTCTGGTCTGTTGCCGAATTGCACAACTAATTAACCAGTAATGAATATTCATAGAGATTGTTCGGCAACTGAAAGGAAGGCCAAGATTAAAATATAAAGTAACCTTACCTCTCTGCTCTGTCTCTAAAGTGTTCATGATAATGCCAAAACGCCCTGAATATCGAGAAGATCGTACATTAACAAACACAAAACTACGCTCTGTAAAGCTGTTAATTTTCGATCTTTATTGGGAAGTAGTTAAGGCATTTACATTTACAGTTATATTCTTTCTTTTCCAAAGAAAAGAGTTGTATGTTGTTAGCACAATCTCTTGGGGGGTGTTACACTATTTTAAGCTTCAATTACCCTCACTAACAGAGAAACAAAATTTATTTGGCGAACACGAAATTATCCCTTGCGCTGGCTTTTTTTTAGCATCATGGAAACTTCCACGTTCTCAACAACATTAAAAATAACATTGAGAGCCTTTTCGAGAAAATTTTGGTTTCCTGATCAGCGCATTCCTAGTGCGACAAACCCTTTGTAAGTTGATTTGAATAACAGTATCTAATTGAGAATAATAATAACAATAAAATTGGCTCCAATACGGCGCATCGGGCCCAGTTCTGTATCTAATAGAGATAGAAAAACAGAGTCTCAAAACATTGAGACGCTTATTGAGAGTCTTTTCTAGAAAATTTTGGTTTCCTGATCAGCGCATTCCTGGTGCGACACACCCTTTGTGAGTTGATTTGAATAACAGTTACAAATTGAGAGCAATAAAAAACAAAATTAGCTCCAACACGGCACATCGAGCCCAGTTCTGTATCCAAAGAGATAAAAAAACAAAGTCTCAAAACAATTCAGTCGACCATCTCGACGAGAAATCTTCGGAAGCTTCTAGTTTAAATTTTCTTAAAGAAAAAAATGTAGCAGTAGCACGACTTCTAAAATAATGACAACATCTCAATTAAAGTCATAAGTTAACGGATTTTCTCGTTAAGTCCAACCCTAAAATTAAAAAACATAAATTCCAGCTTCCGCTTTCTGATTTGGAAAAGTAATGTTGACCTTGAAACACAAATTACTGCAAGGGAATGGTGACAGACAGGCAGACTCTTTGGTAAAACTCCACAAAATTCTTCCCGTACTAATACCGCCACGTTATTTCTACGCACCAACATAAAATAAAAGGCCTTACAATCAATTTTCAATTACAGACCAAACACAAATGTTGACCTTTTAAAGTTCTTAATAAAATTTGCGAGATTTTATTGACAAAAACGTCGAAAAACCGCATTTTAAAACAACTGCAAAGCCTTAAAGGTGAGCAGTCAGGCTTACCAATTCCTTGTACACCAAAACCCTGGCATGGAACAGTTTCTTCCGAACGAAAAGGGAAATTCACGAGATATTATAAAGTCGATCTTTTTTTTCTATCTACCTTCGCATGCCTGCCCTTGCTTCAGGATCAGCATCTGAAATTCCTTTCCGAATGGCTTCTTCTATTTCACTAACGCGGCTGAGAAAAGAAAAGAAAAAGTATTGTGGCATTTAATAGACACTCTGATAACTAGACAAGGGAAAGTTCCATTCACAATTTCCTAAGCTTTGCAGCACTAATATATTTGCACTTTTCAACTCTGAAACATTCGGAGTGATTCTAACGGGTGTGCATCGCAACCCCGATCTCATGATAACTCAGGCTTACCGAGAAATTTCCCCGGCAAGCGGAAGAATTTGAGCTCTAGCAGCCTTAGCCGAAGCATATTTTGACAAATATGAAGTGTGAAAGTGAACGGAAGTTCATGTGAATGATCTTATGTTAGTTGAAACGTTCAGTTCTGGAAGGAAGTGCAAAGATAGCAGTTGGAGCAACTCTTCAGGACACCTTCCAAGTATACTCGGAACATCTTCGGAAATATTCGGAAAATCGTTGTTTTAGGAGAAATATGATCCGGTTTTTTTTAAATCGAAAATGTGGCAATCTGGGGAAAAAAATCTACCGCTTTGACACAGAAAAAAAAAAAAACTGGCAGCATTGTAAGTTTAGTGTGTACTTACGATTTTATCGTGGGCGTCTCCCAGTGAGTAAGAAACAGGTCTACATACTCACAGCAGCGGCTGAGTAAGAAATATAGCGTAAGTATGAATTAGCTTACGAACACTCAATCACTTCGATAAGGGAACACAAAAGCAGCCATTTTATGACCAGCCACTGCCTTTGCAAAGGGAGATAAATCGCGAGAGTTTGTGGGAACATATCAAGGACTAACCATGCCGCAATACAGGAAGGTTTCAAGGGTCATTTTCGTGGTCTATCTCATTTGGTAAGTAAAAGAAATAAGACCTTTTTTGCCCCATGATTCATCTTTTTAACAAAATATGGCTTAAACAATCTGTCAAGACACTTTTAGCAATAGACGGTAACTTCAGTGGAGGAGGTCAAAATAATCGGGTGAAACGCCTGAACATCAAATCCGATCGTAACGTGGAAATGACCAGAATAAAGTTTCAAAATTTGCTTGGATAACGTCAGATGACCGAGTGTTATTTCTAGCCTCGTTAGTTGACAATTTAAGCAAGCAAAAAATTGAACTTTTCATTTGCCCATTAAAGTTATGAACAATATAAACGAAAAATGGAAAAAAAATTAATTAAAAAGAAAAAAGCTGTAAATTTGGGCGGGTTGTGCAGAGAGTCGTAAGGTCCACTTATGACTTCTGACAGCACGCGTTTTAAATAGTTCAATATTTACCGTCGAATGATACTTGACTTGGATGTCATATTGTTGGTGATGACTGGAATTAGCCGATGAGAATGAGTGTTCTGTTTGACAGTATAAAAAAAATGAAATCACTTCGCGTCAACCTGTATAAATAGGATCTATAAACACGATCTGTAAACACGAGAAAACAAGCTGAAATTTAAAACTCACTTTTAGAATGAAGCTGATACAAGCGTGACCAGACGTTGCCATGATCTGTCCGGAAAAAAAAGACAAAGACGATTTTTGATTGGAGGAGGACGTATCATGTGCCATATGTCGAGACTCACTAACTCCTAAGGGGCAAGCAAAACACCTGGGGTAACAAAAACTTCCAACTCGCACGTGATCAGCTCGAAACCACGGAAACTTTGTATGCCAGCTCGCATCGACAATACAAATTTTTGCAGTCATGGCAGCTGGACGCAGTCCTTAAGGGTTTGTTCATCACAAAAGGAAAGAACACAGGAGAAAAGCACTCAGCCCATCGCGTTTAGCAAGTCAGGTTGCCTTCTATTCCAAACAAAATTTCGGCTAATTCTCCATTAGACCTGTAGTTTTGGGTGGTATACGAGGATCTTCCGATTCAAGTCAACCGATAAGAAAATGCCCAAGAACTACCAACCAAAGTGATATCGGCCTGACGTCACTGGAATACGTCATATTCCTTGGGAAACGAGGGGAGTAAGGTGTATCTCTTGTGAGTTCTTACCTTGGCGCTGTTGGTGATTAAGTTGATGAGGGTTGGCAATACAGCTTCTGCCGTATGATCAAACTGATTCTTCAAAACGGTAGACAGGTAGCTAGAGGGAACATGTATATATTGTCAATTTATTTTCTAGGTCAAGTTGAGAGATTGGTTCTCGCAGAAATTTCAACCTGTGACTCACCTTAAGGTTACACAAGCCTCTCTCGTGACAGACGATCGAAGATCCTTTGTCTGAAAGTAACCAAAAATAATCGTCACCACTTAGGTAATGGCTACAAATTTAACAAACAGTTTCTATTTTGCTGAGTCGCTGATTTCTGGTAGGCTGGCGCAGCGGGTGCCGTTATCAGAAAACGGCCCCTGTAATGCCACATTCTTGCGCGCCCACATTTTTGTTCGTGCACATTGACAGAGAGCCTACTAGAGGTTACTGTGAGTTTTAAAGATGGATCTCCATCATTCGCATGTTATAAAAAAGGTGCAGTAAAACACTCATTCATTCATTTTCTATCTGACTAAACCCTGCTCCAAAATGTCGAGTCGATTTAGAAAACCAAAAAGTTACTTACCGAGAGTTTGAATGCCCCCTCTTGTAGCCTCACCAGCGACACAAAGTTATCGTACTCTAGAGCCCCTCCGTTAATTAAGCTGCGAATTTTCTTGAGCTGGAAGAGGACACAAAGGTACAGTGAAGTTTAAAATTTGCGCAAACAACAACTTCGAGGTTACCACAGCCTCCGACTATATCGACACCTCACGACCTAAATTTAAAAGGAATTCGTTGTTGCTGGAAAAGAAGGAAAGCTAAAGAAAACGAGGCGCTCAGAGAAAAAATGCCAGAACTTCAGAGTTTGAAAGTAAATACAAATTGTTCGTATCAAAGCAATTGTGTAATCTGTGTGGTTCTACTGAGATTCGCTTCATGATTGGTCGAGAAAACTCGCGCCAACCTTTCAACCAATCAGATGCAAAATCATAACCAATCGTGACGTGGGTCACTGGCGTTTTCCCGCGCCTCAGGCAGCTACTTTACTTCTTATTGGCTCTCTGTGATTTCTCCTTTGATCTGATTGGCCGTTGTGATCAATTTGGTTTTGCTTTGAAGACACTCCAAAGAAAATCTCTCCAAGAAAGGAAAGTTGCAAAATGTAAAACTTACCGCAGCTACCCGGTGTTCCCAATCGTTTTTATCATCCGATAACACGGACTGAACCTTCGCCATCTCCTCTGTTAGTTCTTTACTGCTATAAACCTGAAAAAAAACCCAGTTATCTCTTAGTCATGTAAACTGTCAAAACTGCCAGTGAACGGTTTCTTCGAAAGCGAAGCTCGAAGAGAGACTGTGTGCTTCGAGGAACAGATAATGTCTTTTAGGACAAATATGAGAAAACATTTTCGCGCCAAAAGAAGGCTCGTAATCACTTCATTTTCGTGTTCTTTCAAGTATTTTGTGCAGCGTGCAAGACAAAACGTTTTCAAACAGCTCGCCGTTTAAGACATCTAGCGCCGCAGAAGTTCTCTATAACGAGTTAACCATTTTACTCCCATGAGTGACCAAAACATAATTTCTCCTTACAATATCAATACAATAAAAAGCAGACAAGTGATGGGAATTGAAAATATATATATATATGTCAATTATAGGATTATTAATTGATCCAATACCAAATTCTTTGAACTAACATCAAAAGGATTGTATGAACAAGAAGTTGGGAGAATTACTGATGAGATCTTGGAAGTGAAGGGTTTATGAACAAAAGAAGGTTTGCCTCCTTTTGTCACAACGGAAGAACACCCTCGCTTTTGACGCAAATTTCAAACGAAGGCTTACAGTTGATTATGTCTTTGTATTCCTTATGACTTTATTTTTACAAACCTTGATTTCAGGACAGTCATGAAATGCATTTTCAAAGTCTGCCTCGTCAACTGCTCCCGCAGACGCTGTAAAGAAAACCAACGGTTTTAACAACTACACGAACTAAATAAGTATACCTCAAGGAATTATGAGTCCGCTTCCTTTTTTATCAGATTCAATTGGAAGCTGAAGATTTTTTTAATAAAAGTGTTCGTCAAGGTCTTACTTCTCACTTCTCCACATTTCCACCACATTACTGTGTATGGGCATAACAACTACAATTCGAGATCGCGATATTAATAGTCTGCATAGTTAAAAGAACATAAATCTCACCAAACCGAACAAAATCGGCTGGCTTTGAGCTACGAACACTACTACAATTCCTTAAAATGTGGCGACTGGCACGTGATGTCAGCGGGACTCTCGAGGAACGGGTCTCGGGTCAAACCAAGGCTGCGTCACTGGGTTGAGTTGGTGGGCAGGATACTTTACTATCTCACAGTGACTTTCTCCACCCGGGTAAAATAAATCGGTACAGGCGATTTTTTTTTTTTTTGGGGGGGGGGGGGGGGGGGGGGGAAAAAAGAAGGTAACTGTGTGATGGACAAGCATCCCATCTAGGAAGGAGTGGCAATACTATTTATTACTTTACGCTTCTGAAAAAAGAATACGCTCGGCAGGATGGGCCGTCTGACTCGTAAACTAAGTTTACCTTTAAGACAAAAAAATAGAATGAAAAAGAGGCAAAACTCTTGAACCTGAGTTAGATGATGGGCCTGAAGTTTTTGACCCACTGGTTTTTCTCTGTGGTCCGCCTTTTTTCACCGATGTTGTTCTGGAAGGCGCTGGTGTGGAAAGCTGAAAACAAACAAATAAAAAAAAAATTTTTAATTACACCGCTCTAATAAGTTCACCTCTCTAATAATCCAGTTGATTATAATTGGTAATCTCACATGTTATTAAACAGAAAGCCTTTCATTCCCAAGATCTCAAAAAATAAATTCTCTTTACTCTCTGCCACGCTTTTCTGGTAATGTTAGTTGGAAGAATTTGGTTTTAAATCAGTATCCCTCCAAACGATGTGGTTATTCATTCTCAGCACCTGTCCGTTTAGCATTGTGCTAATATTGTAAGGAGAAATTACGAATTGGTCACTATTAGGAATAAATGCCTAAGATTTGATAGAAATAATCAATGACGATCTAAAAACATAAAGTAAGAGCATGCACCATTTTTTCTGTAACATGAAAACTAAAATAAGGCACTCGAAATAACGGCAAACTGAAATTTGACAATTTCTTTTGACTTTACATTCTGCGTATTATAATACTTGATAAATCACTTAAATTCATGCAGGAAAACATTTCCCTATTATCTAAAACTGATAAATGCAATCAACCACTTTGTGCCTACTAAAAAAACTAACTAGAAAATCACCAAACTGCTCGGAGGAAGAACAAAAATACTCCTAAATTCGGCCACTAAGACTTAATGACAGATGCTTGGCAGCAAGCAAAGACAACAGAGCACAGTGGCGCACAAAGAAAGTAAGCAAGTCTATCATATATCACATGACTTCACAAAATCATTACAGCCCTTTTATCATGTAAAAGGTATACACACAACAATACCTGCTGACAATTTTTTTCCATGAATTGTAAATTTAACAGCCCCACAAACATAACATCTCAGCAATAGGTCAATATTTTTTCCCATGCCAAGAAGACCTTGATATTTTAAAATAAGAGTTTTCTCATTTATGCATATGCCATGTGTCTCTAATATGGCACTCAGACATATGCATTGTGTTTCACTCAAAAGTCTCCACTCTGAGAATAATTATTATTCCCTTTAATGGTTTGTTTAGACGTTTCCAGACATACCGTCTCCAAATCCATCATGCAAATATCATTACTAATTTTTCTAGACCTTTCTTTGCACCTGGCTACAAACTACATTTCAAAAAAAAATTGCAATATCTTTCCATATCTTTTTATCTGTCTCAGAAAAGGTTGGTGTTGTACCTCAGGCACATTAGTCAGAAAGTAAAAATTTGATTTAAATGAAAAATAAAAACCAAGTATAAATATAATGGTGATGTAATAATTACTTATTTCTGATAACAATAGCTGTAAAATAAACTATCAAACATTAAGAAAGGAAAGTTCATGTGTCAAAAGCATGGCCTGTGCAACTGTTCTCTGTGTGAGCTATAAGTTTACCAACCAATGGTTTGAAAACTCAACAAAATTACTAAAAACAAATTAAATAAAATCATTTGACTTTAAAAGAGGTCAGCTATGTAAAGAAGTCATCTACTTACTTAAAATTCTCCCTATTATATTCATACATTACCCAGCAAACAGGTAAGGAGAATACTCACACTTATCTGGTAGAATTTTTATTCTTGATCTAACGCTAAACTCATGTAACTAACTTACAAGGAAACGTACAGCAGCTACAGGGGAGAATTAACAATCAGATCTTGGGAGTTTAAAAAAAATTACACCTGTTCTGACATCTAGAGTCTTCGCTTTTCAAGGCTAATTCACTGGTCACCATTTCCCTCACCTTTGCTCCGTCTGTCTCCACCTCTCCATTTACTCTTGAGGATCCTGAAATGAAACAGGAATAAGAAAAATTAGCATGAAATAAACTTATGGAATCATTGTTCAATACACTTCTTAAAAAAAAATTAACTGATTAATTTTTTTAAACTTTAATATTCATAACATTTGGTAAAGAGGATCTGGTCAAGTTCTCATCGCTCACCATTTCATCTGGCTTTGAATGTTTTCCTAACAATACAAATACCAGTTTATTTCCACAGTAAGAAAAAACAAAAAATCATTCTCAAAATTGTTTCTTTACACATGTAGTGTAATTTGTTATTCCCAAACAAAAAATCCTTAAAATGGTGGCTCTTTTTCCCCCCAAGAATTTGAGACAAAGAAGAAATTGAATTCCCCACCCTCCCCCCCCCCATCACAAGTTGAGCCCTAAATCTTGCTTTTTCACTGAGCTGTTATCTCTTAACTATATATATTTTCAATCCTAAGATTTACACACAACACTTCTAACAGATCTTCCGACAACATTTATGATAAAAGTTAGCACAACAACATTAGCTCTCCCTTCAAAGAAAGGTATTTATTTTTGGCAAGATTTCCCAATGAACGTGACCTACAATTCAGGTCCTTAAAATCAAGTATCAATTTTCTACCAGTTTTCTATGATTGTTATTGTACATGATACTCTCACGGTTTGTAATCCTTGAAGAAGTACAATTCCCATGCATTGCATGACAAAGTGTGTCAGCACACGCCTGAGACATGATTAACTTCATAGTGTTGAGTTACATGACCTACTTGTCTTGATCAATGACTTGAAAAAAATCTGATAACATTTTCAGCTAGAGTTTCTAATGCTAAAAAGTTTGAGAATGTTGTTCAACAAAAAATAACTATAATTGAAACAGTTTAACAGCAAGTAAAAGAAAGAATCGAGGGAAACATCAGTGAAGAAAAAAATTCATAATAACTGTTTTTAAATAAAAGATCTAAGTGGCACGAGCCCAAGGCACATGGAGTTTCACAATAGATCTTATCAAGATGACCTTTCCACATATCATCACACCAAATACTCATAAAATTATCTTTTGCTTATTCTAGTTCATTCTAGTTGAGTGCTGAAAACAAAAACATCACAATTGAAAGGAACTTGTTGTTCTGCAGCTTATTTCAGCCTTGAAGATGATATTCAAATCAGCTGAAGCTGTCTCGCACCCATACATTTGAATTTACCCAAAATAGATCTAAATGATTGATCTGGTGCACAACAACAGTTTCTCTCCAACCAACTTTTAAATTTGTAAGACTATTTCTAAAATGATATGACTGCTAGTTTGTTGCAGCTAAGGAAAAAATTCCTAATCAAAACAGCTGATTGTGACCCAACAGCACTTAATATATCATGTGATTTCCAAGACAAGGACATGTCATAACATGAAGATGAGTGGGCAGAAATTGTCATAGATAACAAGAGTAACCTGAAAATGAAGTTGAATTTTGAGTGTTCATTTTTTGTAGATGAAGAAAATCTACCTTATGAAGAAACCTTTCTGAAAAATTGACTTGTGACACATCACAGCATGGCAAATTGATTCAAGACAGTAGAACAATTACTCACAGTGGGATTTTAAGCAAAGATTAACAATTGAATGGCTCCAAAATAAATGTACTTCTTGTAAATCTTATGTAGAGACATCATAAACATGTACACACATCATACATCAACTCGGCAGATAAAATATTTGACAAACCACAAGACAACAATCTGGTAAATTACTTGAGAACATGGTAAACAGCTGCATTTCAAGGGATTTATCTTACTCACTGTTCAACAAAAAAATTTCCATGTCTTGAGCCTTAAAATTGTATACATTTAAGAAGCAACACAATATCTAAACCAACAGGTAACTACTGAGACATGCAGGATGAAATTTTTATAATTTTAATCCACAGAACCTAATAATATTCCTTGCCAATTGCCAGAAATTTGCATTTTTACTGCTTTTTTGTTTACCTTGCCTTAAAAGGTTCATGTACTTGCTAAAATATTCTTAACTAAACCTCAAACCTACAGCAAAATATAGCAGTGCAAAATTATAAAATGAAGATATATTTCTTAAGAGCAAAACTTAAATGCCTAAGGAAACAGCTAAATTGTTTTCCCAAATGTAAAACTGAAATTACCATTTTAGAGCCATCTATATGCATGCATAAGCACAAACATTGATTTAAGAATTTACTGAGCAAGTAAAATTAAATTGTGTGGCAATTGTTACCTGTCAGAGAATACTTCCCATTCTGTGGTGAGACACAGGAGATTAGAAAACGAAAATAAACTCACTCTGTCTGTCAGATGAAATCAAATGTCATCTGTAAAAAGCTGATCATGCATGTGAAAGTGTGCCTTTGTATCAGCCATGAGCTGTGCTTCAAATTAATTTGATTCAAATTTTAAAAAATTACCATTTCTGTTCCTTTGAAAATCCAAGTCTATCTCAGGCCCTCTGCTACAGTAATCTTCAATTTGCTTCAGTATCACCAAATATTCTTTAGAAATGCCATCAGAACTCAAAAGATCATCCACCATAGCAGTTTACTCTGAGGCAGACATTCACAAGAACATTCAATCCTTCATGCCTCTTTCTGTTTAAATTCTACTGTCTAATCAATGCCACAGCCTCCCCTTGAAACACCAGACCAGCTTTTGAAACATTTGATCCAGATAAACAAACTCTTATGCCATAATTCCCAGATAACAGCTATTCTTGTTTGACAAATGTAGAAGAAGCCATGTTGGTTTTCACAATGTCTGCTGGAACAGCATATTAATTACACTTCTAAATTCAACCTCTTGTCAGCCAATTGTGGATGTTGTTCTATACCGGAACACTGTTCCCTAAAGGCATTCTTGAGTGGACAGTTTCTTAAAAACAATAATTACCCAGGTGAAGTAATATTCTGGGATAAACGTAGTTTACAACCAATAAGTGAAATGTGAGCCTACCTTACATCTAACTGAAAATGAATTTAAAAGCGACAGTAGCCAATCGCAGCACATCACTGTTTAATATTTTATGAGAGCACTGTCAGAGGTTATAACTTATTGATCAAAACAAGGGAAAATATTCATTTTATTTTAAGAGCTTATGTAAATTCCAATGAAGAATTGTAAAGAAATCATTTAAAATTACTTAAAATGGTTCAGAATCCTTAGTAACAAATGGAATTGTCAGGTATGTGCTGTGTATAATGAAATGGGCTCCCAAAGCCTCAACATAAAATCATCAGCTGTGACAAATTATTCTATTTTTGACCTGAATAATAAGAAGATCAGAAACAAGCTTTAACCACAAAAATGTACTTTCCATGCTTTTTCAATCAGATATGTGACCGTCTAATTACTGGTATCTTCGTGCACAGTGTTTTTGATTGCATGACTTCAGTAAAAAAATGCTTAACTTAGTCATGCAGTTTACACAACGTTGAGCAAGTATAATAGAGAAAGACAAAGAGCAAACAAAAGATCCAGTATTATGTTGAAGATACTTAAGAGCCATGCACGAAGATAAAGTCTTTGTGAAAATAAAACCTTTTACATGCTGATCTAAATATAGAACTATCCAAAGCTTTAGATTAGCAACGTAAACAGAGGAGAGAAAGAATGAAAACAGCAACTCTCTTTCACCCAAGCATTACTGGAATGTGATCAAGAACAAATGCAATTTATGCTAAATGTCAACATTCTTTTCAAACGTGTCAAGCTAAAGAAACTGAAATCACATAAGTCACACCAAAAGTATTAACAAAGTTACTTAGATAAGTATTATCCACAAAAGACAGTAACTCAAGGATTAAATATATCAAGTTATACATTGTTTTCATAATTAAAAGTTGGAATGCAAAAAATGCAATTTTTAATAATTAATAAGTAACATTCACAACAAATTCACATGGTTGCCATCAGAGCAACCTCAAAAATGCCCCTAATGCTGTTCAGACTCAACTTGACAAATTCCATTGCTTTTCTCTTTTCTAATTATCCAATTCACTCTCCCTCTTGCTACTAGAAAAGAACTTGGAGTAAAATTTGAGCAGTTAACCCTTTAGCCCTTAAAAGTGACTAGCAATTAACTTCTCCCTTCAATATCTTCCCTGAATCAAACATGGAAGTCATGAGAATAGAGAAGATGATCAACAACTAAAGCAGCTCTTGATTGTTAAACAAATTCTCCTTTTCAGCCTCCTTGGAAATGTATGGAGAACAGTATGGAGAATATGCATACTGATGTTAAGGCATAAAGAGTTAATGCAGTTTTGAAAATGGAAATTCAAATACTACCAGCCACTGTTATTCAAAAGACCAACCTCATTCCAAGGTACCATTAGTAATGATTGAGGTGTAATATTAATATTTGAAATCCCACATCAATACACCCATGTGTCCACAATACAAGAGTTTAAAAAAAAAGAAGATTCAGTATTGACTCAGAATAATACATGTTGATAGAAAGTTAAAGTAATTCTCCAGAATCTTTTAAATCCTTTAAATACATACACTGCACATATTAACTTAAATTCAAGAAAATTCAAAGGTCACTCAGAGTAAAACTTTCTTTTTGTCTTTGTTTTTCCCAAATTAAGGCATAGCCAGCAGTTGATAGGTTGATAGAGCAAATTAAAATGATTTTCTCAAGAATATCAGTCTTGTAATTTTCTATCACATCAATGAATCTTTTAAAGGCAAGAAATGATTAATCTAATTTCCAACAGGAACAAAATAAAGCCAATATATTTGAAAAACAAATAACACTCAGATCCTCTTAAACCATTAGAGGCCATTAAAAATTGAAAAGGGTCTATAGGGAAAATATTAATTCACATATTCCTAATCCCTTGTGCAAATTCTCCCAAGGCAACATAACAAAATTTATAACATAGCTAGTAAATTTGTCTAATCAAATTCAATTGCGCAAGCGTGCTTCATATTTCTATTGTGCACGCTCATGATGTCAGCAAACAAATCCCTCAAGAAAAAAAATTTTCCATCGCGTTGAAAATGTTATAAACCAATTGGTTCATGCGTCAGCTGTGCGTTTGTCGAGATATGAAGCACTTGGGAAGTTTGGAGAGCACTCAAGAAGCTAGGGCTGCTCTCGGCTACACCTCGAGCAACTCTTATGCATCTTTCGTGCTCTCCAAACTTCCCGCGTGCTTCATATCTCGATGAACGCATGCTGACATATGAACCAATTGTTAAGTTACACAATACTACAGAGAATTTTGTCATGTTCAACTCTAACCCTTTCACTCCCAAGATCTCATTAGTAATTCTCCTTACTGTCTGCCATACAATCACTTAAATGTGAGTTCAGAGAATTTGGTATTGAATCAACTACTTATCCCTTAATTGATATTTTCCTAAATAATCCCAATACTGGTCTCCTTGATATTGTATTGATAGTGTAAGGAGAAATTCTGTCTTGGTCACTTATGGGAGGCAAAGGGCTGCGCGAAACATGAACCAATACATCAATACAATACAGGCATTCTATTGCTCTATTTTTGAGCATGCAGTTAATATATAAAGACAGAAGAAATATTCACATGTCCTACCATTAGGTTCACTGACAACCATATTCCCTGATCTAGCCACTTCATCAAATTTTGCATAAATAATAGATAACCTGTGAATGATGAAAAAAATATTTAAATCTTTAAAATTAAGGATACACATTGAGGTGCAGAGTTTTCTGTGGTTTAAATTGGTCATTTTGAGAAACAGTTTAAAACATCTTAGCAAAAGTTGTAAAATACTGTTAGTAGTACTTTATAAAATTAATATAAACAATGTTTCAAGTAGTAAATTGCTTGAATGTAAGTTAAGCAGCCAAAAATTGTTGTGAAGTTTTACCACCTCAGGGAAAAGGACCATTGAACAAGTAAAAGCAGTGATAACATCATATCCAGGGCTGATGATAAGTTTGAAAGTAGCAGGCAAATCAGAAATAGTTGGCAGGCAAGCTAACATGGCTGCCATGTTATTTTCTCAGATCAAAGGAAGACTGGGAACTATCCAGTGAAAATTTCCCAATCATTCTACAAAGTTTGCATGAACCTTTGAGAAAATTCTTAACATGGAATCTAAGCACACATCCCAATTGTCGCTATGAAATTGTGCTTTTAATTCCAATTAAGACAAGTAAATTGCTGCAGTACAGATTTCTTTCAAATTATTTCAATTACTGTTTAATTGTTTATCGTCATTTATAGGAAAATGAGATCAAAGTAACCAGCTGAAGTTGGCAGACTAGCCGATGGTTTCAACTTTCTAACAGCTTTTATTGACATCAGAAAAAACAAGTGAGGGGTTGTTGGACATTTCTTGTTGCACATCTTGTTATGTCCCAGCCAATGACATTGACCAGTCAAACACCTTTGTGCAACTAAAAATGCAAGCTTTACTAACCTTGATGATGGAATTCCTTTTTTGCTCAGGTCAACTCTCACTTTCTCACCAACATGTCGGTAAATTTCAACCAAACTGTTAATGGCACTGTCACGCACCTGGAGGAAAACTTATGTCTTCAGAGGAACATGACACAGCGTAGCCAAGCATCATTATCAAATGAACAAGTGTTAAACCTGTCCCTAGCTCTCCAGTTTCATGTGATATAAAAATATTTATATATCTGCAAGCAACCTGCATGTTTATTATAACAAAGAGAAGCTGTGTGTCAAGCACTTTATCCATTGCTCTTGTCTTGCAGGCAAGAATTCAACTATTTCCATGAAACTGCAGATCAAGATCCTCTTAGAGTTCTATGAGTGTCTCAATCCTCAATTCTTGATGGTTTGACTGTTAACTCAATTTTTAAGCAGTACTGTACCTAGCTACATTTCACTTCTCTTACCTGGCTGTTAGGATCACCAAGAAGCTTGCAGATATGCGGAACAAATTTTGACACTGTGAGAGATGATGGGCCAAACCTAACCAAAGCAAATGAGCAAAAAATAAGTTCAAAAGACATATTTCATCATTTCATTTCAAGAAATTGCTCCGAGAATCTGTTCGCTATGGTTTTCTCCTCATCTTTGACTTTGTTAACTATTCTCTTACTTGACAGGTAAATGATTGAATGACAGGGAAACAAATAAGAAAAACGTTACATTTTACATTTACAGAACAACAACCATACAAACTGTAAGAAAAGGAGAAGCTTGTGCCCATATTTACAGAGAATTTGATCAACTCACGCATTTAAGGTAGTTATCAGACAATGCAACACTTCTTCTCTCACTCGCCAAGCCTTGTGACCAAATGCTGGGATGAGTTGTTCAAGAACATGCTACAACAGATGTAAAAATATAATAATCTTGAGTTACAATTTACCAAAAGAAAGACAAAAGTAGACTTGAAGTATACTGGGCTCAAGAAAAAGGAAAAGATTTTGATGAACTTACCTGAGGTGTAGACACTGGGTACATAAACTTCTGCAGTAGTTCTTGGGCAGAATCTCGCACCTGAGAGAAAATGGAACACAAGATATATAAACAATAACAAAATTAATATCGTAAGGAATGTATTCAATCCCTTGCATCAATACAGCACCCTTGACTGTAACTTCTTAAGTGAGTACGTAAATTCCCACGTCATCACAGAAGTGTTGCCAGGCAATAGATTACCAAATAACCTGGGTAACCTGAGGTGGTCTAACATTGGAACCACAGCACCCTTGACAATAACATATATAGTGAGTATGTTAGTTCCTGCATCATCACAGAAGTGTTGCCAGGCAATAAATTACTCAGTAACCTGAGATCTAACACTGGAACTACATGAAGCAGTAATACCAGTCCTTAAGACCAACTGATTAAGCTGTAAATATTCTGTATCACAAAAACTTAAACTGGCTTCCATAGCAGGAAATTCCTAAACCCTTTCATCAAATGACATGTCTAATATGCAACTTCTCCCAACTATTCCAATACAATACTCAGCATAGATGTAGAAAGAATAGGCAAACTCATCAGTTAACCCCTTACACCATAACATCAGTATGTATTTTCTCCACACTGTTCTCTATACTTTTTTTATAGTACTGACAAGGAGAATTTGTTTAACAATCAAGAGCTTCGTCAGTTGGTGATCATTTCCTTTATCCTTATAACCTCAATGTGTTTGTTTAGGGATGATACTGACAGAAGAATTAGTTACTAATCACTCTCAAGGGTTAAAATGTTCAAGGATGACATCGTGATTTAACACCAAATTTTCTTGAGTAATTTGCCACAAAATATATACTAACAAAGAGAGAGAGTTGAAAATCAGATCCTGAGACTCAAGGAGAAAAGGAAAGCTGGGCCATTCTGCCAATGCTAGTCAACTGTGGTACTTGTATATGAGAAAAGGCTGTGTTAGAGAAAAAAATGTCTGGTGCAAGTGCAAGAAAGAACAACCCCAGCCAAGAGACTTGGGTCAATTGATCCAGATTCAAACACACAATAGCTCTGACCATTCCATCAGCAGATTTTGAAATGCACAATCAGAGATTAACAATACACAATAAAGAGAGAAATGTCCACACCTGTTGCTTGCTGTCACCTAACCTCTCCACAATAGCAGGAACAACTGAAATGGGGAAAAAGCACAAATCCTCAATCAGTAAAAAGATTTAGAATCCCAAAGCCAATAGAGAAACTCGCTTATGTGGACAGTGAATGTTTTTAAAGGAATTTGTCCGCACAGCCAGAAGTCAACTAAACATCACAATATTGCCTCTTGGACCTTGAAGTTTGCACTTCACTTCACAACTATTTTAATTTACTTCATATTATCCAAATTTGTTCAAGACATTTTACAACAGCAAATAAAGTGCTCAGATGTGATCAATAATTCATTTGCCTAGAAGAAAGGAGTGTATTATTTCAATACAACTTGAGTATTCTGATAACATGTTACACTCAGTGACACAAAATTCCAGGGCTAGCTAAATCTGATTTATTTTTAATCCAAGTGTGGCTCAACACAATATGATCGAAAAACAGATTGTGTCAAGGTTGCAAAGATTTGTTCATCTTATTTTTCCACATTGCCAAAATTAGACAAGAAAGAGTTAAGACAGATAAACTGTAACCACAAGAACACAGTGTACAAACTCTTTTATATACACACTTCTAAAAAAGGCAAGAAGAAATCAGAATAAAGTGGAACGAAAGAACCGAGTGGAGGATAAAAACTTTATCTTATCTCAAAATAAAACTACTGCAGCTGCAAAATTAGGAAACTCCCTAAAATATTTTTTTCAAAATTTAAGAAAATAATATTCATTCCAAGTAAAATTCCTTCAGGTTCTTGACAAAAATTGTAGTAAGTGAGGAAGGGGAAAATGATTTGCTGAAAGACCTTACTTACACCGAACTAAATATCAAATCAAACTTCAAACACACAGACTGAAAACATATTTTAAAATCAAGCTTCACAAATACATCTTATCTCTTAATAAAAGGAGAGCATAAGAATCAGCACATGGATAAAATCCCTACAGTTTAAAACTGCAGTAAAAGGGTCATTCTAAAGAAATTCTTTTTGAAGTCAAGAGGTGAACATTTATTTGAATAAGTTTTTAAAATGATAATCAGAATTTACTATAACATCTGTCATTGACTCTGAATATCATCAATTCTGAAAAACAATCTGAAATATTGTAGATTTAATACAATAACTTACCATAGAATGTTTCAGTTTTGACTATACAATTTACAAGCAGTTAAATGCAAAAAGAAACTGATCCAACTGGCTCTTTTTATCTGAGCCTGATATCTTCCAAGGGGTTGAAACATGAAACATTATTATGCAAATTACAAATTTGTAGGCTAATCACAGCATGAAAATTGACTTTTCCATTTCCTTTCACTCAAATGCACAATTAAATATCTCCTGCAACTAAGACAGCTTCATTTAAAGGTTTTATCAACTTAAGTCAGATTTAAGCATGTTATTAATCCTTTCTTAAGAGAACACACAGTATGATATCAGCCAATTTCTGTGCTGAACTTCAAAAGTAAAGCATATATTCTAAAGAATTCAAAGTTTTTAAAAATTTCAATACGATGTTAAATTAGATTTTTGTTATGTCAAAATAACTGACTAAGCCCTTGTTGCCCCCTTTTCTTTTGTACACAGTTCTCTAATTTTTTTTCAGGATTGTTTTTCCTTCCTCATCCTGTTTCCAGTAACAGTTAGCACAAAACATATATGTTAAAATATTCATCCAGATCTTCATTGTTTTTGATCAGTGTTTTACAAAATGAACTGCTTCAGACTGAGATACTGGCAGATACATGTTTGAACAGCAACATATACTAAAGAAAAATCAAATAGTAAGTACATTTTTATTTAAATTTCTTGATCTAACTGTAAGTATTGTTGAAAAAATCATCAAAAAAACCTTCTGATCAGAGTGGAATTATGACAAAAACAAAGTTTAGTTCCTGCTACTTATACCAAATACATTTTCACACACAGTTATAGCATTTTTATCCCTAAATACAAACCAAGAAATCAAATTCTAAAAAAAAATGCACCATTTTTTAGAAGAGAGAGTGCACACCTCATATCAAATTTTTTTTCAAGAGGAACAGACAGATTAAAATATTTTAAATATTTTGTTGAATTTGATATCAATTCAAGGCAAATTGGCTTAAGGTCAAATGACGTCTTCAACATTTCTTTTCATGTAATTCAAGAACGATTGTTTATAACAGAATCACTGATAATCCCATTATCAAACAATTAAACTGAAGAGTTATGCCCTTAAATAATACAGCTCTCCATGATTTAAAATACAATAACAAACTGAAACTCTAGATAGAGTGGCCTAGGCTGAAATAAAACATTTTATGACATCTTAAAAGATGAAAAAACCAGCAACAGCATGAAGATTGTGGGCCTTAATTCATAAAACTTGCAGATAAATGCAACAACAAATCTAATGTTACTCTCAAATTAAGAATTTGCTACTGTTTAAACTTTTCAAAATGTACTCACAGCTTCTTTCCCGTAATTGCTTAAATCACCTGTGAGGATCATTTTTTTCCTTTTGATTTCAATTTGCAGGTCAAATGAGATTATTTCACCAAAAATTTTGTAAGTATGATTGTGAAAAATCAAGCTTGGGTTAGTTTAGGTTTGAAGACAATCTAAAGTTCTATTGTTCAATGTGATATTTAAAAGCAAAAAAAACATGCCTTGATGTAAAAATTTCTCACCTTGGCAAACCAAAATCTTAAAAACCAAAACCTAACTTCTAACGAAGCAAAAACCAAAAAATTGTCTATTCAAACCAAATTACCAAATGTTTTTAACCAGACAGAGTAGCATCCATTGGAACAAAAACTTATAAAAAAAAAAAATTAAAAAATTGGTCGTTCAGATTGAAACTAAATTCCAAATAACACTTTCATATTGTTACAATGTGCCTATTAATCAATCCATTAATCAAGCACACTTGAAATTTTTCCATAAATTAACATGTGATTGCTTTGACTAATTTTAGGACACTTATCAGACCATCCATGCCATAAATACACTTATACAATGCTTGAGTAAACATAACATTCATGCATAAAACACACATATTCCAACTTCACATAACAGGGCAATAAGAAAGATTGCATAAGGACAATTCAATTTAGGGGAAAAAGAAAGGCATTTGCAATTTTATTAACAAAACCAAGATTGAGAAAGAAAAAATTAAATAAATGGAAAGTTATCTTTGAGATAATAGGTATGTGATTTTGGGTTGAATAATAAACATAAACAATGTTGTAACACTGTAACAACATTCAAGTGAAAAAGGAATTTTATTTAATTTTAACGTGACAAACCGACTATTGTGAATTCGAAGTTAACCCAATTGTCACTGCGTCAGTAAACAACTCCCAGCAGGAATTGAATAAACAGTCTATGAACTGAGAAGTAATACTTTCACTTGTCACAGCATTTGATTGCTGTTTACTACAAATTGCCTTTCAGAAGTTACGACAGCTTGGCGCAAAATACAGCAATCTCAAACGAGACTCGAACAATACACTACCAGGTGTTTTGCTTGTCTTCGAAAGTTCTAACCACCCGAAAAAATATTTATATTTAATGACCCTATGATATGTCTCTTTATGTTAATCTGAATTTTTAGATTTCTTCACAAACGGCTTGCTTCTGAATTGAAAACTAATCAAAATGCAGCGTTGGCCAAATAATAATTTGTCGCATTTGTTCGTAAATAACTCCAATTCTCGAGGGACTCTATTCTTCAGTGACCCAAAACTTGCTTGTGTAAACAAAGAATACAACATTTTATAACCTTCCTAATCTAAATATTCTCCCGATTTTGGTTATATTTTTGATTACTTGACAGTTTACACACTGACAAGAGCCTAGATCCCATTTCCAGACAACAAAACCGACAGAGAAGCATGTAATCGCGTTGTAAAATATTAAAATCAAATTGGATATTACCCTTTGTGGATGCGATTTGTCGCAATAATACATAATCCTAACCTGGCAAGAGATGGCTTCGAAAATTTGCTCCGAGACGATCGACAATCTGATGAAGGAGATCCAGTCCAGTCAGGCTTATCTACAATATAAGTAATCATTTATTTGTATGACAATTTTGAGTAAAAGGGACGAGAGAAATGTAATAAATCAGTAAACGGCAACCATTGGCAGGAGGCTGATCAAAGGGTGCCAATATAACAAAGCTGAAATTAAAGAACGATTTTAGTAATTTGCAATGATGCCCACAGTCTTAATTAATAAACCCCTGAGTTGCCAGAAAAATAAACTGCCGCCACGAGGCTAAATTTTACGATCCCCTGCGCACGTAGGACACAAAGAAGTTAAATATACATACTGACACAACCGAAGAGCGATCGGTGTCAAAAAATATACAAATGTCTGAATCCAGGCTTGCGAAACTCGTTGTATCTCATGTCGATCTATTATGCACAAGAGCAAAACAGATTTCATAGACACAATTTCTTTAACGTATTTCTTACCTTGAAATTGCTGCTGTTTACCCAACCAACGAGACCATCGAGCAGTTTGTCGAAGCCAATGAACTCAATTCCATTAGAAGGAACACTTAAATAATTCGAGAAGTCTTCTGCCGCTTTCAGCCTTCTTTGGGTATCTTGAGATGTAACAGCGGCTAAAATGCCTTCTAGGAATGCTATGTCTTTCATTTCCGTTTCCAAGGTAGAGCACCTGAATTGGAAATAAGTAAATTTCCACCAAGAACGATCTCGCAATATTTCACTTTCAAGCCACTTCGAACCGCATTGCGGTAGAGCAGTATAGGATTCGTGGCTTCAAAGTAAAGATAGCCCTGTATGACTGACAGCCATCTTACTTTACAACTTCCTTCATGTATCAGCTACAAAACAGTTCTTAAACAAGAAGATCCACGATAGTTGACCCCGTTTTTTCCACCCAAAATTTTCTACTTAGGATACACACGATTCCGCCGCCATTTTCGAGTCCAACGAATGCGAGGTGATGACGTCATGCAAATGAAGAGAGAATTGGAAACTAATCAGAATTCAAACGAGTCACCAACCGAGGAAAATTATTACTACAGATAAAAAAGCCAAAATTATAATATTATCTTCGAATCTTTTCCACCTTAATTTACCTCAGTTAGTATCTTTATATCCATAAGAAATGCCTCCACTACTGAAAATTTGAAAACTTTAAAATGCTGGTTTCAATAAAAATATAAAAACAGTGGTCACACAAGTTGGTCACACAACGCTTCTAGTAACGCTCACTTTAACCTAGCAGTTAGCTTGTGTTCTCAGATCTCCTCGAAATTCGCATCTAAATCATATTTTATAGCATTCCCTAAGATACTAGTGTCTAAAATCGTACACTTTAGTCCAAATTGGTCACTAGTGTCAAAATTAGACACTGGTATCCAAAAGCGGAGACTAGTGTTCAAAATGGAACACTAGTGTCCAAAACTGAATGCTGTTTAAAATCGGACACTAGACTCCAAATCGGCAAGTGTCCGAAATCGGATACTTGTGTCTAAAATCGGACAACTAGTCTACAAAGTCGGACACTTGTCTCTTAAAGTGGACACTTATGCCTAAAATCGGACACTATTTTGTGTGAATTTTACCCTGATGTCTAAAATTGAAAACACTGAGACGCTGTGTTTTCCTTTCGTGATATAGAAAGGTGTTCTTTTTGGATTTTGTAGTATATTAAGTTAGGGTTTAGTTTTCTTGTTTCTCACATCGTTGGGATGAAGAGTTACGAATCACGCCGTCAGTGTTTCAAGAAAGTAAGAAAATGCGAAAACATGTAACTGAAGTTCGTTCTCTATAGTTTCGAACCGGGTCCTGCCTGAGGGAAGGTCATCATTCAATTACCAGTGCATTCAATTCCTAATGATAATTGAACTGAGTGGAGTGCCATTTGGTCCGAAATTATACGCATGATTTCATAATCAAACGAGCGCACAGCGCAAGTTTGATTTTAAATTACATGTATGATTTCAAACTAAATTTCATGGCACGAAGTTCACAAGTATTTTTATTCAGCACAAATATTTTATTGATCCAGTATATTGAGCTGGTTTGTAAAAAGATGCAAAAGTTGCATGTCCCTCATTTTTCTGCAATTGGACTGATTTCTTTAAACAAGCCTCGAAATTTGATTGGCTGTTGTGTTTTAGTGAAGCTGTCTCATTGGCTAGGAAAAGGATGCGATTTAGAGCATGAAATGGTGCGATTTGATAATAATTCGCACTAGTAAGAGCCAATCAGGTTGCAAGGATCACAAGTGATTTCAAAATGAATGTGAGAAAGCGAAATACATTGACGTCGATTGAATGAGATGTAAAGTTCGTAAGGAAAGATTTAATAGCTCGCGCACCAAGAATCCCGCCCCGGGAATCTCGAGATAAAGAGGGAAGAAGTTAAGGTGGCACTCAGTGATGGTATTTATCCGCTCACAAATCCACGCGGATTCTACAATTTTAAGACCTTTTGTTAATTCATCCCAAAAATGATCTAGCTCTAAGTCCGTACCTTTTTGAGTAAACTAGTGATCTACTCATTTTCCATTTAAACTTGTAGACCGGAGGCAATTCCACTGTTACATTAATCGATTTAAATCCTTTAATTCCTGTACCGTATCAAAATTACTTCGCTAATTTAGAAATATTAATTAATATTAAAGATTACGATTATAATCTTTTGGTAATAATCCACATATTCAGTGGAAAATACAGAGAATGTTTTTTTTGGGCTACAAGTAAAGTATTGAGCCATCTTCAAAGAAACAATGATCTTTCCCGCATTTTTTTCTCCATGGCTTCGGACTGTAGGTGAAACTTGGAAAATCTGTGAAATAAAGAAATGAGATTAGCGAAATAAGTGGATCCGAGCGGTATCTATTTATTCAGGATTAGTTATGTGTTTCAAAGCAATAGCCGTCTCCTCGCCCCAATCCTTTTTCGAATCTTAGGTGAGAGAGGTGAACTAATGTAATCGATATTATGTTAAATGATAAAATTACAATTATAGTTAATCTACAATATCGTAAGGGTTTCCTTGTATTGGTGTCGAAAAAAAAAGGAATGGAAATATTATATTATTTTAAGTCATTTAATGCAAATTATAAAAAGGGCAGGTTGATTACTGCGTACTCCTTCTTGGTGGTCTTATCTTAAAGGTTGAGTTTGGTCACGTTCTTCCTGTGAGTTTGGCCACTTTCTCCTTGTGAGTTTAATCACGTTTTCCTCGTTGTGATCGTGAGGTTGACATGGAACTCGTGATAAGCCATGTTCTAAATTAATTTAATTTCTTAGTCCTTTAATTTCTTAATCTCCCTGGTAATAGGTCGCGTTCGACACCTTCTTGTCCCCAGAGGTAATTTAAGGTGTAAACAGGTGATGCCCCTCATGTTTCGCAACCAAAAGCAATTTGGGGGCGGTACTTGTGAGCGCCTTTCTTCTTTAACTCTTTTGACTAAGATGTTGTTATGTAACAATCTTTAAAGGTGATTTTCTGTTAAGATACCCTTTCAGGTGTAAATAATACTCTGAACCAAGGTTATTTGTAATTTTCATATTATCGATCTCGTTTCTGTTCGGGTCGATCTCAACCGTAAAGATACGAAAATTAAGGTAGAAATTGATTTTGTAACTGCGTAAACAACTCGAAGGTGCATACTCAGTAAAAGTCAGTATGTGGGAATTGTAATACGTAGTCAAGCGTGATTCGCTAGTTGAGATGGTACGATGACGACACAAGAAGATTGACGGCTTAGAAATGTCATTCGCAGTGTCCCCTTTATAAGCGGAGACTCTAGTTTTCCCTGTCAGATAGAAGCTAGTCCCCGTTGTATCAATTTATTAAGAAAGGGAATAAAGAAGAATTAACCTACCAAACAACGAATGTTAGAAAATTTACTTCTAACAATAAAAATGAATCCAAATTTATTACTTTGCTGTCCGCCTGATACGGTACAAGACAAACACTTTTAATTTGTTCGTCCGTGTCCAGACCCTTTCCCAAAGCTTTTTGCTCTCTCAGTTTTTGAGGGCAAAACCATGGGAACTAGAGATAAATTTCATAAAACAGGTTTCATTGTGTTCATGAAAGCGCTACGGATTAGATGATGGTAAGCTGATTGACCTTCAAAATCATCAAAGACGATGACAAAAAATAGACTTGTCGTTTACTGGGGAACTGTTTAAACTTGAAACAAATTAGCAGAAAATTTGTTCCCGAAGACTTACCATGTCCTCCTCCATTGCTTTGTTTATCAAAAAGTTTAAAATCGTCTTCTGTAGGAGTCCTATAGGAAACATGAAAGGATCGTTTCGACTCAATTCATTCATTCATTCAAAATACTATCAGAATATCAAAACTACATCAAAATTGGACCACGCCCATCCTAAAAAGTGCTCCCGTTACTGTATTATCTGCCAACAACAAATTACCAATCGTTTTCGTAGAAATAGTCGACTTCATCCAGGCAAATATCTTGTCCTTCGCCAATCTAGAATAGAAATATCGAACATAACTACAGATGAAATAAATGTAAAACAGTTTGATGCGGACCGAAATAAAGAAACCAAATGTAGGAATTGTAAGCAAAAGAAAAGCTTTGATAAAGCGTTTTTTCTATGAGTTTCTTACATTCAAACCCAAAGTTATCATACAGGCTAATCGGAACGAAGAATGACATCATAATGAGCCAATAAGAATTCATCGTAGAAAAAACCAAGCTGTTTGAACTAAAGGGCAGGAAAACGGAAGCAACCAAGACGCAAATGATTTTAGTCTTGCATCTCAGTCAGACCTGATTTGTAGAAGGATGGCACCAGTTTTCTGGACTAATCATTGAGAGAAGCAAAACAAAACCGAAGTAACCGTAGACAAATTTCCACTTTTAATTTAAAATTTCTATTTTAGATGGTAAATGATTCGTACCGAGATCTGCCACATGAGTTTGATATCACAGCGAGCTCTCATTTCCCAGTTTAACCGGTCCTAGAGAAGGGAAATAAAGAATGACTTAATTGTTACAAATAAACCTAATAATGGCTTGAGTTCTTTGAAGCGCGCAGGGGTGAAGCATCGAGGCGCGAAATCTGAAGATCAAAGGTTCGAGTGCTCGTGGAGGATTCGAGTATTGTCTTTGTTCTATGCTTGTGGAAAAATGATTGAAATATTCCTTCGTTGTAGCATCATTTTTTTGTTTTTGATAATCGTCGCAAGGGTGAACTTACAACATCAAACGCTCCACGACGTCAGGGCGTTGGCAGGGAGGTCGGGCGCTGCCTATGACCCCTCCTACATTATAGGATTGTAAAGACTCACGAATCTGAACAACATACCAAATTGTACAAATACACAAGGTAGAGTACAAATATCACGCAATATTTGGACAGTTGGTTATTTTGTACTTAAAAAAAACATGTTTGACTGGTCGCGTTCTATGCCTCTCTATATATCTGCTTCACTTTCCCCGTCCCATGAGAAATGCGCATTAAGTAAAGCAGTTATTAGACGTTTTGGTGTGAGAAATCGCTGAGTATTTCTTCTTGTTTTAGCCTTACGGGCTCGTCAAAATACGGCACAACTCGTAAACATACTCAGCGATACTACACACCAAACCGTTTCATGAGATATATGTATTTACTCGAATAAGCACCTCCCTTGAATAAGCGCTGCACTGGGAAAAAGTTAATAGGCGCAGAAGAATTCTTTCACCAGCTGCGCTGCAATGCTTCGTGCGCATTTGGATTTCTCGAGGGAACCAGGTGCTAATCATTTTGTGCGAAGGGTATGCGCACTCCCACGCTGGAGCTCGTAGACTCATATTAAGAATGGGTCAGTGGGATCAAAGTTGAGTTACGACACTTCTGATAAAGCAACTGAAAAGTGCCGGAGGAGACGAATGGTGACAGTCAAAAGATGCCTCGTTCAGTTTTAGCACAAATTCCGCACAGAAGGAAATGTACCGTTAAATTTCAAGAAAATCATTTCATCATCGCCTTTCATTTTTGAATAAGTGCAGCCCCAGATAAACGCCACCCTCGAATAGCTCTGCATTTCGGGCGCGTAAAATAAACATAAGCGCTGCAGCGCTTATTCAAGTCAACATTGTAAGCCTAATGCGGTGTTAGATCCTCTATCTGCTGATCCTTCTTCTGATCCCTCCTCCCACTGAAGAGTTGTACCCATTCGTTGTACTTACAACGCTGTTTTTTCTGCTCCGTTTCGATTTCCTTCGTTTCCTCTCCTTTGTGGATGGTGGCTTGGTTTCCCCGCGATTCTGAGCTCCTGAAAGTCTTTTTAAACAGAGTAAAGGGATACAGGGCAAGGCTTTCTTCAGACTACAAAATATGAGAACTAATGTCCAACTGAGGAAACTGAAAAACTAGCAAGAATAAATGAATTGTTTCAGTATCATATATCTTTAGGAAGTGTGATTTGTTACAACGGCATTGCAAGTTGTATAAATGATACGTGGTACAAATTGTGGACGAGATTCAAAGTAGAAGGATTGACGGCTATGCTGTTTCTGATGCTGTCGGAAGAAGAAAAAAACGAAATGCAAAACTGGTGTGTCATGGATTTGAATATAATCGGATCCACTCACCATTAATCGAGAAAAATGATGGTTAAAAGTTTGCACATCAAAAGCACCTTCAGATCTTGTCTTTTTAGCTTCACCCACCTCTCCTACGTGTGTCTGCCATCTTTATATTTATGACTAACGTAACAGCCGTTTGTTTAAAACGTTGAAGTTGCCAGTTATAGGAACAGTGTTTTCGTGCGTCATCCGTGATTCAATTTCCTAGCTCTCGTCAATTTTGGCGCATTTAAGCGCGCGTTTGTAACTTAACGTATTTGATACCGTTAATTTCGTTAAAACAATCGACAGAGAACTCTCGTTTTGGTCTACAAAAGGAATTCGAGGGCTGCAATTGTAATCAACTCATTGAGAAAGATGAGGTTGATGTAAAATCTGTAGATAAAGACTCAAGGGGTCGTAACTTGAAAGGACAGTTTCAACAACGGGAGGAAGTATTCAAAAGTTTTACAACCGAACGCGCTTTCAGAGTGATTGCAAACAAATGCGTGCGCTCCGGCCAAATTTGCGCTCTTGTAATTTAGCAACCAGGGCCGAGTTGTTTGTAGTCTGGTTAAGATAACCCAAGGTTATTGTGAAACCTTATTTCTGATCTGAAAGCCAAAAGAAAATTCAGTACAATTTTTTTGTCTGCAATCTGATAACTAGATGCTCTAAAAGGAGTAGAAAAAATTATCTTATAGAGGTTTTTGAACAAGGAAATAAAGAAACCCTGAATGAAATTTAACCATGGGTTGGCGCAAATCGGCCTTCGAACAACTGAGCCCAGCACATTGCAGTCCAGTCCAGAATTCAATTAATTACATTTAAAACACAATCGTTGACTTTCCCTGAGAATATCCTCGATTGGAATGAAAAGAAGCTGGCGTGTTGAGCGTGGTCTGCGGGGACACGAGTTTGCTAAAGCATAGGAACTCATGAGGAGATGCAAAAGGAGGAACTGTAGATGGCGCAAAATCCCTTGGAGACTTAACAAACAAATCGAAGTACGCCATTGGAGCAACAACCAACAGCGTTCTTAGATAATTGAGGCTTCATGTAAGAATGTGAACTGCCAAATATTCACATTCTAACATGTTGTAGACGAGACACTTGGTACAAATGCATTCGCGCAAAATTCGGTTCCCGTCAGGCGCGGAACCAGAAATGTTTTATAAGGGAGGTCGAGGGAGGGGTCTATACTTTGATTCCTAAAACGTACCATTTTGTTAACACCAGTGCGTAAATGAGCTAAGAAATATTTTAAGGCGAGTTAAATAAATACTTCTAGTCGAGTATTGATAAGCGATTCTGTCATCTGAAGAACTCTGGTTTCGGTCCGATGAGGATCTGCACTCTCCCCTGAACTCCCTACCCCACTGCCAAATCACGACATGAAAACAAAATCAAGTTCTTGCTGAATTTAGCACGAAATGAAGTAATTGCAAATATTAGTAGCAGTGGGTATGCTTTCATGAAGTTGTTCCCTATCGATCTAATGGTAAATTTAGCGACTGTTGCGAGGGACATGAAACGGTGATGTGCTTGGGCAGGGGTTACATCGGTCCGACGGATAATGAGCCCCTCTTTCGCCAGACGAATAAAGGGGTTAAGTTCCTAAAGACACTTTGGTGCTGCGTCGGTGAGGGGTATAACAAGATAATTTGGCACTATTAAGTGGGTTGATAACTCAAATTGGCCACCGTAAAAAGCTTCAAAGCCGACGTGTGTACGCGTCTTTCGCCAGAACGAGGACATTTCTTTAGCAAATCCGAACCCTGGTGAAAATATTGGATGATCCCCGAGGTTACCTAGATCTACGATCATATTGCCTGATGCAGTCGATGCCGGTGTCCAGGCAGTAAAAGAAACCCATTGGGCAACGCACTGTTGCTCAAGCTGTGGCTATCGTGATTTCGAGGCATTTCCTCTGTAATTGCCAATCGGAAATCCCTCCAAGGATAAGCCAATTATCACCCAGAATCGCGCCGGTCCCCGGTAGATCACGCCGGAATCGGCACGTGAACCCCGCTTGAATAGCACGCATGAACCCGCAAATAACACGCCAGAAATCCCGCTTTCCAGAAAGTTTTGAGTGAAGTCGGCAAAATAAGACAAATACAGGCCCTTTGCTTTCCACGTATTTTTATTCATAATAAGTTATAGTTATGAAGGGAACTCAACTTAGCGGTGGTATTCCATGCGCACAAACAATTTGTAGATTGTAGTCATGCAACAATCTTCAATCATCAAGACCAAGATCACGGCGTAGTTAAAAGCATGACCACTGTCATCGCGGGAAGCCTTACGTAACCAAATTTTCAGACACTTCCAGTCCCTCCTTAGCGCGAGTAAAAAAGATATCTGTAATTCAAACTACGCATACACGAGGTATTACACGCAGCTGTTGATTTGGTATTGTCACGCAACCCACTCGCGTGACAAGACCAACCCATGGCTGCACAGGAGACAAGTAGATGTATTCATACTTAACCACCCTACAAACAAACCCTAAAATACAACAGTGTCGAATTGTTCAACTGTAATCAACCCATGAAGACGGTACAAAAAATTAGTGTTAGGAAAGGACGTTGCTTGTTGGAACCGAATAATTATTTCGAAAGATGAGGAAAGTTCGTTTCCAAAAAACCGGTCCTTTTCGCTCGAAGTCCAAAATCGGAAATTTCTTCAAAGATAAAAAATTTAACTCTCCCGGTGCTTTTTTTTTCATTCAAGAATATAATTTCAGCAAAATTGAAAGCGTTGAATTTTGCTCCTTACCTGCAAGAAATCAAATTCTCTCTTCAGTCTTCAGTAATTCTTCAAATCGCTGGTTCTCGTGATTCGCCTGTATTTTGCATTTTTCTTTCAACAGAAAATCTTCATTTTACTTCTCGAACGTTTGGCCAATTTTCGGTTTCTCTGAGGCTTTTTTCAGGAAGTTCCTTCCTGTCTTCATTTCTTCTTCAACTTCATTTTCTTCACAAATTTTTCTTTCTTTCTCCTTACACAACCTGGCTTCTTTCTTCAAAACTTCCCCTCTTTCTTACTTCATTCTCTCTGCGAATCGATCTTCGCTTTCTTTTCCCTTCTTTTCCCCGATCTTCCCATTTCATCTTCATTTTCTCCCATGTTTTCTAACTGAATTTATTCGCTTCAATCTTCGATAATTCTTCTGTCTTGCACTACTTGCAAATTTCGCAATAGGAGTCTTCGCTCTTCGAAATCTTCATTTTTCATGCTTGTTTCTACCCTGTCGCAAAACAGAACTAAGTTAACATCGACAAGCGAATTAAACATTGCACTTTATTTCGCTAAAAACTGACTAAAATACTGCGTGAAACACGCCTTAGAAAGTCAACCCAAAAAGTGGCACATCTTAGTCACTCACACGTGAAGAGCACTGACATATTTACAATACCAAGATGCTCTGGTGAAATTTCGGTGACTTCGGTTAATGAAACCAACAAAATGCTAAATTGCAGGGTCCATCTAAATCAGAGTGCTGATTAAGCTAAACTATCAAATGTCATTTTCAGATTGCGTTTGGAACGCGCCTTCGCCAGGGTTCGGTGAATGTGCAGCGCGTCTTAAATGCGTTCGGAAAGCGCCTTAAAAATGAGAGAATAAAATAAGTTCGTTGTACTACAGATCTCACATGTTAACAATGATGCAATCTTCTGGATATCAGAATTACATGAGCGATAGCAAACTTGAACCAAGAATCACTTCAAACTTGCGTCCTCTTCCAGTACTTGCGTCACTAAACAGTTTGATTGACAAAGTTAAAAAAAGCAAAACAAAAAAACTTAAAAACAAATTCCTACAAAGATTTAACTCACAGTTGCTCGGCGTGCTTTTAGTGTAGTGCACAAGGACAGTATGTAAAACAATATTTTTCGGGTGCTACAATCACTCGATGCTTATTCAATTCCTGACTATCAACCTCTAATCAACCCAGCTCGTGTTACTGGCCAATGGTATCTAAAAGTGATGACACATATCCTCGATATATCCTACATAAATTGTCTGGTCTTCAGAACATCATCCCTGCCTAAGTTGTATATAATATAGCGTTAGGTAGAGTTATAGCCTGCCAGCATACAGGCTTTGTCAACACAATGTCACTCAGCTTGCATCACTCGATTCAGTAACGACCTGTGGAGCATAAAACTTTCAGTCAGAGTAAATTCCAAGCAAATTAAACATTGGCCTGTTCCAGCTGAAGACTCTCACCATGTTGCTCCCAAGATTAATTTATAAATTCTCCATACTGTCCTCCATACATTCAGTGTAAATTGTGCCGCGAGAATTTTATATTAAATCATTCAAACTTACACACTAGCTTTTTGTCTTCTCATTACACTTCTTGATAATGTATATATCATTACTGTAGGGGGAGATAATTCTCCAACCTATGATGCCTTATTAACACCATAAAATACCTGAAATGTCTGTCTCACCTGGTCAACTGTCATTTTTTTTAATTCAAAGATAATTCTTGTGTCTCAAAGTGTCAAGATATTGCCATCACTTATCATCACAAACATGTACATCTAAGCACAAAACTGTGCAGTGTGCAGATATAATCACTCTAGCTTCTTTGTCTTGGTATCACAATATGTTTTCTATTAAAATACTGTTATTTCCAAAGTGGACAGGACATAGGAGTAATGCCACAGAAGAAATTTATTACCAAAACTTACCCCGTGGTGAGTTAGAGCGGGAGCGATATCCACCACCGCCATAGTAATCTCTATGGCGATGACTGTCCCTTGAATAATATTCCCTATCCCGAGGGTAGTCATCATAGTTACTCTTGCGATAGTTTCGGTGCCTTGAAAAAAAAATTAGGGAATATGTAAGTATGAAGCTGGTGAAAAGAAATTACTGGAAATGCTGTGATACATCCTCAGAGGTGCACCTCCTCTTAATTTTAAGAATTTCCAAAAAGGGGACTTAACACATGGAGGAATGAGTGGACTTCTTAGAGTGGGGGGCTTACTGCTTTTATTTGATTACCAGTAAGCGCCCAGCATCAAATAAGCACCCACCCACTCCCCCAATAAAAACACAAAAACAAAACAAAAAACCATGAGGAGCACAAGAGAAGGGTTTGATCATTATTTCTTTACTGGCTTATAATCTCTCAATAAACTGTCTATGGTACATTGACACATTTGTTACAATTTTTTATAAATGTACCACTGGGTGAAATTGGTGAAATATGAACAAATTAGACTCACTGTGTTGCTTTCCCCATATAAACTCCTGGAGTGGGTGTGTGGGCTCTTTTAGTAATGGAGAAGTCGACACGAATGCGCCGACTGTCAATTTCTAAACCATTGGTACACTGCTTTGCCTGTGGGTGCAAAAAAAGTGAGCACATCCATAAGGAGTCATCTTGGTAAGCTGTTGAACTGTTTTGGAGTATTAGTGATTGGTAATAAGATCCTTCATGCACCACCACTACAGAAAATAAATTGCAGTTTAGCTAAAAAAAAAAAGCATGATTCAGTTATTAACTACACTGTTAAAAAGGTAATCATATTGCAAGAATCCCTTTGTGACTTCAAAGAAATTGTCACAGTTAGGTAACCAACCTCTCTTGCATCATCACTACTTTCATAGTAGACAAATCCAAAGCCTCTTGACCTCCCAGTCTGTGGAAATTTAAAAAAGCAGTGGAGATTTGTAATTGTGTGTGTAAGAAAACCTTTATTCAGTCTTGTGGACATCCAACAAAAGTTACAACAGTCTACTTCTCTTTTGTTATGTTTTTTTTTTGGACTCACTTTACTCTTCTTTTTTTTTTTTTTTTTTTATTTGTCAAAAACCTTACTCTTTCAGCACCCCAAACATTTTAATAAAGGGTTCATTGTTCATTGCCTCCATGATAATTGTCATAAGGAAATGCAATGAATGTATTTTCTGAATTTCATTACATGTATGCTTGGGTAGCAAGCCTCCTCTAGGTGTTCCCGGCATGCTTGAAATTTACTATAGTACTTTCTGAGACATAATTTCTTGCCTTTCAGAACATATTCTAGTAACCTTTTTAAGCCAGACATTTGTATTTGAATCAATTAAAAAATACTTAGTTACTGTCCTTCACAAAGTACCAACCCAAGATGGTGTAACAGCCTGCAGGTTTCTGCTGCCTAATGCCTCCTCATGACAACCCTGCTCTATATTTGACACAGATCAAAGTTTCCTACCTGACGATCATATACAATCTGGATACTCTCAACACTGCCATACTTCTCAAAGTACTGTCGCAAATCTCTTTCAGTAGTGTACAAGCTCAATCCAAAAATTCCAAGACAGTTACTGGCTTCTGGGTTATCCTAACAAAAGCAAACAAATGATAAGCCAGAGATTGCATTGGCACAGAAATAATGTAAGTTATACAAACACATTTAGGAAGAAATATAACCAAACTTTTAATGTGTACTGTGTTTCTTTCAAAATTCACTTCATTTGCTTTAAAAAGGTTAACAGTTTTCTTTTTTTAATGTTCATGACATTAATGTACTTAAACTGTTGAAAATGAATACGACATTGTGGTTCTTAAGGTTGATGCAAGCTCAGCACTGTCTTATGCCTGAAGACCCTAACATCAGTCTGTATATCCTCCAAACTGTTCGACATACATTTCGTAAGATAGTGACTGGGAGATGGAATTTTCTGCTAGGTCTCTCTTATTCATAGCAGCAAAACCAGTTTATTCAAGGAGAGGGTCACACAGAGTGTAAAACCCCTTTTCTTCCCACCCTGTGGAAAGTGTTTGGAATCCCCAATTCACCCAAATAGGATGGTGCCAGGACTCAAGAACTCAACAACAAAAAGCAAAACTTCTCACAGAAAAAAACATGAAAATTAGTTTACCCGGCTTCCAACATGACGCTTCCTTGAAGAGAGAGGTGAAACACTCCTTGATCTAGATTTTAAAAGAGAAGATGTACATGTATTGTTACAAATATCAGAAAAATCTGTGCTCAAAGGCACTTTTTATATATTTGCCAACATTTATCTCATAAAGAAAAACCTAAAAAATGAAAAGAGAAATGGGAATTCTTTGAGAGCAAGGCTGAACCAAATTCTAAGTCAAACTTGACCACCATAAATCTACCTCTGAATGAAACTCATATCAACATCTCCTTGGCCCATTTTCTTACAACATCTTCTGATAGCTTCCTTGAAAAAATAGCTGCTTCTGGAAGAGCAAGTTACTTTTCTGAAATTATGATGTACTGCACCAGTTACCTTTTGTGTCTGTAGTGATAGGGGCTGCGAGAGTGAGATCTGGACTTTCTCCTTTTCCTAGTGTGTGAACGGGACCTTGACCTGCTGCGGGAAGGTGAGCGGCGTCTACGACGTGAACGGCTCCTACTTCGTGACCTTGATCGATCTCTTGAGTAACGTGACCCAGAACGTGATCTTGATCGAGACCGAGATGCTGAGCGGGATCTTGAACGAGATCTTGAACGAGACTTGGAGCGAGATCTGGAGCGTGAAGCTGATCTTGAGCCTGCACCATTGTAGTCAGCACCTTGCTCGTCATCTCTGTCACTTACATCCTGTTGAACACAACACAACTTTCAAAATACAATCATAACATAACTATAGAATGATAAAGAACAGCCCTGGTTTTTCATTCTCATTCAATACTCAAGTAATAATACATGATCCCTTATCTCTTCTATAAAATATTGCAATATCGTCAGCTGCTCATTGTTTATATGCTCCAGTTAATGAGGTTGACCAATTGAACATTGCCATATTTTGAACAATGTTCAGCTGTTGAAGACCACTCACTGCCAAGCACAATGAAAAGACTAAACAAAAAAAATAAAGCCTGACCTTCCCTTAACTTTTAAACCCAAGGAGTATCTCACATCAAATTAGTTGTTACAGTTAGAATCACCCCTGAATCAAACGCTGAGAAAATGGGAAATAACTGCTGAACAAAGAAGCTCTTGATAGTCAAACAAATTCTTCCTGTTGGTACCATAGAAAATGTTTAGATAATAGTAAGGAGAATGTGCGTATTGATTTTAGGGTATAAAGGGCTGACGGAGCTGAAGTAGTGCAAATCGTGTTCTACCCATCAAAGTTCCCAATGTACTAAGCTTCACACATGGCTAAAAGTCCACGAGGATTTATTTGTAAGTTCCCATACAGGCAAGCTACAGAAACATACTAGCACAGAGTCACATTTAATTGAATCGAGGACACACTCAAAATAAATGTTCATAGAGTATGCTACTGCAGTGGATTTAAGCAAACACATGCAGAATTAGGAAAAATGCAGTTCATTCAAACAACACGAGCGACGAAATTTAACGAGCCATTCAAACTACCCTAACAACTTGTTTGTGACCAACGCACTCAACCAAGCTAACACTCTACTTACCTTTTCTTCGGAACCATCTCTATCATCAAGATCACTCATGATCGCTTAAAGATGATTTCTATTGTAAAAATTCGCTACAATCTTCCACACAGTTTTCGACTCAGCAGATGGCGGGACCGCGAGGAAGCTATCCCAGCATTCCTAGCGTAGAAACAACCCGACGATAGCCGGAGTTGTCCGAGTGACGTACGGCAATTTATGATCGTGAAATTATCTTTCCCTTATCGTTTTGGTAGCTTTACCAGACAAAAGGGTCACAGCCATGTATATTTTTGTCAAAATACGCGCATTTTTAATCTAGTGAAATAAAACGAGCGAATTTAACAAAGTTAACGACAAAGGCAGTTTGAGCCCCTTGCGGTCCTTGTCGTGTAAGGTCCACCCCGAGGGTGTCCGAACACGCTAGTGCACGGAAAAGTAGCCATTATGGCGAATGCATCAGGAGGGTCCATTGATTTGGCCTCTTTGATGAGGACAAATAAAGTGGAGGCGCTTCACGCTACTGCCAGTTGTGGACCTACGAGATTTCTTGTTTGGACACGGCTACCTGAAGACAGTTCTACCTGGATTTTGAAGTATGTTTCGCTGTTTATTCTGCGATTTCTCTTTTATGCGCAATTTAGCTAGGAGAACTTAGAGATAAACAAAATTTCTTTTTTTTATCACTAGGCTGGATTGATTTATAAAATTCCATGTCTGTCAAGTGTAAAGTAGTAATGTTATGCTTCCATAGATTGTTTCGTTTGCAAAATCCTAGACGCTGAGGAGGAAAAACGTTCATTTTCGATTTCATTTTAATCTTCCGTAAGCATAGAACTCCAAGACGCTCTAGTCCTGATCTGCCGGATTCGTGCCAAAATTTCAAATTTCACTTTCCCGGAGGTTTAGAATCTGGAATAAAAATTTGATCCCATTTTCCCCTTCAAACCGCATGTAGATGCAAGGGATTGGAGAGTATAAATTGTGAGATTTTATTGTCATCTTTATTTGATCATCATTCTCCTCGTCATCAACATTATTTTCATATGCATCTTTATCTTAACCAGGATTTAGAGGACAGAGGGAAGAATTGAGGTTAAAAAAAATTCATGTTTCGTTGTCTTTGCCATCAACGCCATCACCATTATCATTATTTTTATTTTTCACTGCACCTTTGCATAGATGGGCGCAGGCTTTGCTCCATGATCACATCCTACCAAATGTATCTAGCTAGGGGATGATATTACAGACTAGAACATCCAAGACATTAAATATTTTTTTGAACGAAATTACCATCCATTATGCAATTATGCTTCTCTGCAAGGTGTTTCTTTTTTGCACCATGTAATGACAAACTGCATGATTCCAATTCTTTTGGGCTGATAAGGAGATAATAATTATATGGTGTATGACTGTATTGAAAAAGCAATGAAATATCACAGAAAAGCCTGATTAACCCTTTAACTCGCGTGAGTGACCAAGACAGAATTTCTCCTTACTATATCTATAAAATATCATGCAGACAAGTGATGAGAATAAAGAAAAATATAAATTATAGGATTACTATAAGATGCCAAATTCTCTAAACTAACATAATGAGAATTGTTTGGCAGACAGTATGGAGAATTGCTAATGAGATCTTGGGAGTTAAAGGGTTAAATACTTTTAGTTATTTGAAAGAGTACATAATAACAGCTGTTGTTATTGTTTTTATGTTTACTTAGTGCTACTGATGGCGTCAATGTCTGGCACTCACAACTGGACTTAGAGCAACTGGATTCTCATGTAAGGGTCATGTAAGAGCACTGTAAAGAGTTTAAAGCTGATGCTTTAACTTGCATATGCATCTGGGTAGTGTTCTCAAAATCGGAGAGAAGTGTCTTCTTTAGCAGATTTTTAAAAACATTTACAATAAAACAATTCAAATTTGGTTCGGCAGATAACTCAGACCTTGGTTTTTGTTATTCGTGATATCAGTCTCAACCTCATCTAATAATTCATAATGTTTGCAGAGAGAGCTGGCAGAAATTGACAAATATGAAGCCTACTTTTCAATGTTCAGGTAATATGTCCTTTTTCCTTTTGCAAATAAATGGAAATTTGTAAAATTACATTATTCATTTGCTTCTTATCACATATTGTACCCCTTTCAAATAGTTCTGCTTAACCCTGCTGTGAGCAAATGGCAGTTTTAATATATACTGCAGAGGGATACAGTGTAGGTAAAGGTGAGCAGGTTAGGCCACTTCTCTCGTCCAGAGATATACTAGTACATTAAATCTGTTAAGAGGCCTTTGCCTTTATGGTTTTCCCATCTAGAGAATGAAAAAAAAAATGTTTAATCTCCATCACCCCTCAAAGAAACACATTTCAGATTCAGGAGAGAACCTTGATAGAATGATGGAGAGTAACTGGCATGAAATCCAGGGGAAGAGCAGTACTGTTATTCTGATTGCTTCAGGACAGCTGGGGCTCTCTGTTCCAGATTGATATGTTGGTTTTTAACTATTTTGACAACTGATGAATGATGTTGCTTTTTTTGTAATACCAGGTCTGGCTTTCAAAATAGCTCCATATCTTTGGCACAGTTACCTAACAAAGTAATTCTAACAGTTGGTGAGGGTATTCCATCTCTGAGCTATGATCTCAGCGAGGCAAAGGCAATTGAAAAGAAGACAGAGTTGCAACTAATTCTCTTCAAATTAGCTGATAAAGTAGCTGAACTGACTCAAGAATTAAAAGGTAAATGAATTTATTACTAGATGAGGCACAGCTTATGCATAATTGATTTAAGAGGATTTGGAATGCTACAGAACTGAAAAAAGGAATTCCTAATTCTTTTTTCATAACATATCTATGAGTATCATTCATTATGTTTAATCATACTGATACATTTAATATAATTTTTTTTTTTTAGTATCTTCTGATTCACTGGAAAGACTAAAGACTCAAAAGGTATTCATCTATATCTTCTCCTTCCTGCCAGAGATATTGCATTAATCTCCAGGTTCATACTGTAAGTTGTGGAACCTCACCTTTTACCCTCTGGGCAGGGTCGTTCAAAGATGGGTCAGGATAACCCAGGGATAGCGTGAAATTTGATTTCAAATCTGAAAGCTTTAGAAGAAAATTCAGTTGAATTATTTTTATCTACAATTTGATAATTTTCCCTATTCCTAAAAGAATAGGAAAAATTATCCCCAAAAGGCTCTTAAATAGAGAAGTAAAGAAACCTAGTTTAAAATTTAACCTTTGGTAATTGCTAATTGGCCTTCAAACAACTGGGCCTGATCCATTGCCCATATGTGCTTTGCACTTGGGCCTTGAATCTGAGCAGAAAAACCTGGTCTCTAACTTACACTATGACCTTGAACTCAGTTAGTTAGAGGTTTTGGTGGATTGGAAAATATTTGGCCCATGATATAAAGACTGTGTGCAGCAAGGAACAAGTCAGACATTTACCCACCCTCCCCTCCCACTCAGTTGATGGGTACGTGTTATTAACCAGACTAATCTCCTTTTTATTTTTCTTAACATAGTATGGGGCTCCTGGTGAATTATCAACATTTGGTAAGTATGGTATTAACTCTATATTTCCCCTTTAACCCCTAAGAGTGACTGAAATCAAATTTCTCCTTACCGTATCACCCCTGAATCAAACATTAGGGTCAGGAGAATAAAGGAACTGATCACCTTCGAAAAAGCTCTTGATTGCTAGACAAATTCTCCATGTCAGCATCCTGGGAAATGTTTAGAGAACAGTATAGAGGATTTACATACTTATGTTAAGGTGTATAGGGTTAGGAAGCATGGCAGTAAAAGCATTCATTTAAAAAAAAAAGACACACTTTCCTGAATTACCAGTTAGTTATTCATTTTATTACTAACACCTATAGATATTCCTGCTAAAAAGACAACCCAAGCAGTCCCAGTTAAGAGAAAACAAGGTCGCAGTCTTATTAACCCAGGAAGCAGAAAGTAAGTACTATATAGAACTATTTTTATTAATAACATTATTTAGATAATTGATTATTAATCTGCAAATTAAAAGTCATGACTTGAAAAACTCTTTTTGTTGGAGGGGCTGCTTGGAAAAAAGCCCTCATGGAGCCCTGATGGACTGTTAGATTCTCCTTCTAATTCGTCTTAAAATTCCTTGTGAAACACAATTTGGAGAACTTGATGTGGCATCAAAAGTCATTTGTTGTAGTCCTTACTCACTGCACATTTATTTTATTATTTAAGAAAGGCAATTGTATCTATCAGCTACTATGTTTCTCCATTCTTTTCTTGGTCAAGGGCCAAGGAAAATGTTGAACTGTTTGCCCTTTAACCCCTGAGAGTGACTGGTGCCCAGTTCCTCTATACATTCACTACTGAATCAAACACTGAAGTTATGAGGGTACTGGAAATAACCACCCACTTAAGAAGCTCTCCATTGTTCAAAAAATTCTACTTTTCATTACCGTATGAAATGTATAGAGAGGGGTATGGAGAATACATATAATTATGTATATATATGTATGTATGTATGTATGTATGTATGTATATAAATATATATATATATTTATATATAAATATTATGAGAGGAAAAAAGGACGCAACTACATTTACCGACAAGCCTGTTTCGTGAACCGCTTCACTCTTCAGGGGTTTAATGAATTTAATTAAATTAATTTATTAATTAAATTATTAAATTTTTAATCATTAAACCCCTGAAGAGCGAAGCAATTCACGAAACAGGCTTGTGGGGAAATGTAGTTGCGTCCTTTTTTCCTCTCATAATATTTATTCTGCTCTGCTTCAACGTATTGAGCACTGTTCCATGCGAAAATCGACTTGCAGACTTCCTATATATATATATATATATATATATATATAAATAAATGTGGGGGTAGAGTCTACCTTGGCATAAAGTGCTGAATGCTGTGGTAGCAGAGCTGAGTATATATAAGTGAAAGAATCAAAGAGGACTAGCATGTTGCTCAAGCGCTCATCAGACAGCGCTCAGGTGGAAAGTTCTGTCTAACAAGTGCTTAGGCGTGAAACTCAGAGTAACAAAGAATCGATGCGTCCTCTTTGATTCTTTTACTTATTATATATATATATATATTGGGGCTTAAGGGTTAAGATAGAAGACAAGAAGAGAACACCTGTTTCCTTGTAATTGTTAATCCCTAATATATGGCAGTTAAAGTTTGGTATAATTATACTTTTTGGTCAACACAACTTTTTATTTATTGAGGAAAAAAAAATTTAACAAGGAATACCTCTAACTCTATCTGAATGACATGCTAGTCTATAGTGTGTGGTTATTTTTACCCCAAAAAATTTTAAAAAATTAGTAAAATAAAAGTGGCCAAGAAATTTTGGTAAATGAACACTTGCAGGTTGTGCATGAAAATTTTGGAAAAGCAAACCTGCCATTAATCTTTACAAGAAAGAGAGCTGAATTAGTTTTTTCTCTTTCCTTTCTTCTACAGATTAAAACCAGCTAAAGGAGTACAGTTTGATTAGATGCAAAATTCAATTCCACTTAAATCATTTCACAATTTAGTTTTTTCCTCTTACTAGTTAGATTTTTTGAAAGCCAAAAATTTTCAGAAATTAGAGTCCATTTATTGTCTCTTACTGCAATCAATATGTATTTTGTACTGCCTTGACACAACTATTTCCAGAGTAGGAATCAATGTGCATTAGGTATAAATGGTACAAAAAATAAAGAAATGAAAGTGAGCTGTCTTCAAATCATTACTAGTTGTATACTTTTGGATGCTTCAATTACTTTGTTTTGCTAAAGTAATGGAATTCATAACTGTTGTTTGTCTTCAATTTTTTGAGTCATTTTTCTCCCAAAGGTGCTAGTCTTATACTGTCTTGTTACAATTTGATTTTGCTTTCAAGCCAACAAGTTCTTACAACTAAAAAAGGAATGATATAATGAGGAAATTGTCTTGATCTAACTTCAAATTATCGTGGTTCATGACAAATATTTATTTTGTTATCTGTCTTTGATTATGTAAACAATGGTGGCATGTATTTTTGTGTCCACTGTGCAAGTGCAAGAGCCGTAGAAGGGGCATCAAGCCAACTACCTCACCTGCAAGACTAAACCTTCTCAAAAATAGAATTACAGTTGATTCCTGCCACTAAAAGACAAAAATGAGTCCAGGACAGACACTTTGTGCTTAAAGTTTTTTGCCGTAGAGACTGACTTTATTATGCTTATGTTACTTGAGAGGAAGGAAGAGAAAGCCATGTGTTGAATTTAACCTTGTACACCCCAACAGTACCACCAATATTCATATTCTCCAAACTCTTCTTCTCACATTTCCTATTTTACTGACAAGGAGAATTTGTTCAACAATCAATAGCTTCCCATATTGGTGATCATTTCCTTTATTCCTGTAGCCTTAATATGTGATTCAGGGGTGATACTGTAAGGAGAATTTAGATGCTAGTCGCTCCAGGGGGTTAAAAGGGTGAGGCAGAGTATTTCTGTGATCATTGAATTTGAATGGGGAAGAACAACAGATTGAATTGTTACTGCAAATGAATGATCCCCTTTGCAGATGTTGGTTGGTCTTAACATACAAGTTAATGTGATGAGAGTGGTCAAATGACATCTGCAAAGGAAATTGTGTACAGCTTTGTCAGATAAACTTGCTATAATGAGAATTCATGTGCTGTTCTGCTACTTTTCCAGAGAAGCTGTGGTGGAAGCTGCTGATGGTCATAATACAGAACAAAATGTACACATATCGGTTCTGGGGAATGATCAGACATTAGACATCTACAAATGCATAGATCCAGCATGTGAACATTTCTGCACCAAGACAAACAAGAGATACCATTGCCCTTTGTGCAACAATAAGCCACAGAAACCAGGCCGCATGCGCAGGCATTTTGAAAAGATGCACTCAGGAAAGCAGATTGTTCTGCATGAAGGTGAGAGTAAGTTGTTAACCCTCAACTCATTGTAGTTTGTGGAGAGCATAATTTGACAGGAATATACCGGTAACTAAGTATAACCAAACAAATGATCAATTCTGTGTTGATTTTATCAGGACACCAAATGCTCCGCTGCAAATTAAGATGTACCAAAGCTAATGGCCGCATAACTGACAATTCACACTACCATTGCTGTCTTTGTGGAAGAGTTCTTGTAAGAAAAGTACACCTTTACTGCCATCTTCAAGCTCATTCGGTCGGCAGCATGCGTGAAATTGATGAGCTATTAGATGCAAAAGATGATACAGAAGAAGGGCCCATGGAAGATGCAGAAATGGATGAAGATGATGATGAGAACCATACGGCTTTAGATACTTCACAGATCACAACACTGGAAGGTTCAGAACAAGACAGTGTTGTTGCATTATCTGACGGCACACAGGTAGAATGAGTTATCTGCATTTTTCTGCTAGATAATGCCTTTCTCTGAACCTGAGAATGCTTTCTGTTTTAGTGCCTTAATGCTCGAACAGATTGCTTGAGGGATAGAAAAAATAAAATTGAGGCTGCATTGTTAAAGGCAGGTGGCCTGATTGCTGAGCAAGTTTCTTCGAGCAAGGAGTGGTTGCTTGTGAAGTTAAAATTGTTAAGCACCTTGAATGCATCCTATCAGTGATACAGTAATAATGCAGGTTTTACATGTGTGTACCACTAACAGTATTTTCTTTCTTTCAAGGTTGTCTTTGTGCAGTCCATTCAGGACAGTGAAACTTTGACAGTTGTTCCACTTGATGAGCCATCTGACACCTTACAACTTACTCAGTCTGTTGCCCAGTCAGATGTCACAACTGTAGTGTCCACTGCTGCTGATTTAAGCACAAGCCTTCAGGTGTTAACTTCAGTGTCCTCTGGTCTTGGCAATGAACAGCTGCAACTACCGCAGGAGCTGACAGTGAAACAAGTAAACGCTATGCTCAGCCAAGGTAAAATATTTACAGCAAATCTTTTTTGTCTGCTAGCCAGATCATCTCTTAAAACTGTTTAACCTTAACAGCATATAACTTTTTTCAGGTGAGGAAACTAATCAAGATGCTTCAATTACAACAGAAAGCTCCCAAGGCAATTTACATAATATTAGTGGGGTAAACACAGACATGTCAGCATATGCTGATCAACCAACAGGGGACATTGACATGGAGCAGAGCACAGAAACAGAGCCTGGCCTGCAAAAACAGTCTGATGAGGAAGCAGTGGAATTTGAACAGTGTCTGCAGGTTACTGATGTCCAGATGTCTCAGGAGAGCTCTGCCACAGGGGTTTCTGGAATGGAACAAAATAATCTTCAACTTTCTCCAGTTGAGTCTTCTTCTGCTTCAGGGCAATTAATTACATGTACTACCACTCCTGGCAATGTGGTGCAGACTTCAACCTCGCAGTCCATAGCGGATCAAGGTTCTTCAAAACTCCTCATGATTAACCCAATGAATAAATCATTGTTTACGGATGATAGTGCTAGTGCATCCCAAAATGATCAGAGAGGAAAAACTGCTCGGCAGGACACTCTTGTGTTGGTTGATGCTACAACAGCACCCAAAGGAGATGATCATGTGTTCAAGGTTCTGCTTAATAACTTATCGCCTGCTACCAGTTGTTTTTGTCATCCATCTGTTTTAAACGAAAAAAATAATTTAGACATCCGGAGATGTAAGAACACTTACTGTGACTGCAGGTTGTACCATTGTCCTTTGTGCACTTGTTTGCCAAACAAACCAGGGAGAATAAGGGAACACTTTAAAAAAATCCATGCCCAGGATCTCATTGTGAGATACCAAGGTGAGAAAAGTGTTAAAAAATTATAATTTTTTTTCAGTGTACCAAAAACTTGATATTACAATATTCTCTTCACATTTACTTTCAGTCAGCTGCTAAATGCAAGGTTGTAGCCATGGGTATCTTGGGGTTTTCTCTTTCCAGCCAGCCTCCAAATAGAATATGGCTCCCATGGTTAACAAATCATTATTACCCAGCTGTAATCCTCATTCCAGACATCTGTCAATATAGCGTCGATCATTAGACAGAAAGAAAAGAAGTTTTGGAAGGTTAAGTTGGAGAGAACACAAACCCAGCAACATTACTCAGGACTGTTGCAAAATAATTGTATACAACCTTCTCCCTGTTTATTTCACAGGTTATCAAATGCTACGATGCAAACTTGGCTGTTCCCGTCCAAGTGGGACCAAAGTGTTTAATTCTCACTATCATTGTTGCATTTGTGGTGCAATCTGTATAAGGAAGTCAGGGGTTTATGAGCACATGAGGGTAAACCATGCCATGCAGCCAATTAACAAAGACACTATGTCACAGCAAACCCAGAGAGCAAAGTGTGAAACCATGTCAGCAAAGCCAGTGGTTGTTCAAGTTCCCCCAGTTTCAACTGGACCTGCAGGACCTGTGACCCAATTAATTCAAACCACTCAACCCCAGACTCCATCAAGCCAAGGCATATTCACAGGGACTGGGACCAGTCCACAAACAGTAACTGTTCAGATACCTCAGCAAGGTTATGTGGACGGGCAAGCACAGGCACAAGTGCAGGGGCAACAGCAAGTCGTGATATTGATGCCGCAGCAGGTCAATCCAAACCAAGTGCAATTGCCTTCAGTCCCTGCACAGCAGCCTATTGTTATAGTTATGCCGCAGGCAGGAGGGGGTCAGGTCACCCAGCCTATTGTTGTACCTGTCCCTCAGCCTCCCAGCACTTGAATTCAAAAAGAAATTCCCATAGTGCTTCATGTTTTCAGTTGTAGCTGTTAACTTAAGACAAAACTACACACCACAGATGTATTTGACATTGATTCGTTGTTTTTCTTATTAGTTAAATATATCATAAGTAATATATCATAAGTAGTATATCAAGTTGCCATGGGTCTGTTCAGAAAAAAGATCACAGACGACATCGAAATACGGTAAGAACCAAAAAGTGGCACCATATCTATTACTGAACAGACTCATGACAACATATTTGTTTCACTTAATAAAAAAAGCAAAATGTCGTTACTGCGACGATAGCTATGCGTCTTTCCTCTTACAGATCATAAGTAAGAACCAATCAAAATTCATGCATTCATCACCATATTATTTAATAATAACTAAATCATGCTTCAAGAAGTAAGCAGTAACACTAACAAAATGTTTCAGCGACATAACTTTATTTTTTTTTCTTTTCACTAAATTTAATTAAGGGTTCTTTTTTTTAAACAAGAGGCTGAAATTAATATATTTAATTTGTAGGGTTTTTCACTTAAAATAAAATTTTAATAAATTATTTGGATATTTTTCTTCTATATTTGTATCTTTATATCTTTAATCCAGGTCAAACTTGTCTAGCAGGTTTTGAACTCATGTTGTATGTTATTGTCCTCTGTGAAGTGCTTGGATAGAAAACAAAAAGGAGCAATTGTAATGAGCCCAACATAACACCTGTACCATTGGGCACCTGAAAAAGAACAACAACAAAAAAATAGATAATTGCTAATAATCTGATGATTTGTCACCGTTGGGTATCATTGATGGTTAGAATTACAGTTTCACAGTTTGGGAGGAAACTTTTTCTAGAGTCATAGTGTTCTGTTCTTGCTCAAGACACTGTTTTCTTACAGTGTACGTCAACACCCTGGAGTATCAAATGTTTGCCCTATACCAAAATAAGTAGAGCTTTCTTCCTTACTAGATACGATAATGGGAGAACATTGCATCGTACCTTGCCTTGAATGCACTATTGTCAATTTTTTTTTCCACCCTGGGAATTGAGATGGAGGACTGTGCTGAGTAATGACAATTCACTTACCAAAATAAAATTATCTTGGACAAGTTGTCCATATATTGCCCAAAGAAGAGCCACAACAAAGTTTCCTAAACACATGGAAAATGTCATAAATTCTGTACTCTTGTGTCTAATCACATTAGCCTGAAAAAATGAAGGTTAACACAGAATTAAGATACACATTATACTAGTCCAAGAACACAAGACAGTGACCTGGCTACTTCTCAAACCTGGACCTCAAGATGAAGTCCAGCAGGTTCACCATCAGCCACTGTGTCTCAACTGCAGGAGGTAAACCAGTGAGCTATTTACAAGTATTGTCCGGGAGTTCAACCTAGGATTACAGAGAAACCACTCTACTTTATGGTGATAAATAAGGCTGTAATTCAGAGCCTCACAACTACTAGTCCTAGATTTTCAACACTCCCCCATACTGTGACTGAAGAATATTAGTAACAAATTAACACACTGGAGTGTAAGCTGTACTTTTTTTGCCCAACTTTTTCTATCAAATCAGGGGTGGGGCTTATCTGTGAGAACAAAATAAATAGACACTATTCAATGAAAAACTGTAGGTCTGTTAAGCGTGCTAACAAAGGCCTCATGAAGATATACATGAATAGGAATTGATCATTAGTTTAATTTGCAAGCTTGATGGCTCCAAAAAGAGCCATTTTTGTTCATAAGCATAAGCTTATGGTTCTTGCTATTGAGTGGTCTTAGACCTGCCTTAAGAGTTACCACAGATATAAAAAAAAACCCTGTATGGTTGTGCAGGATGAATAGATGTTTGGGGGTGCAGCTTATATGCATGTTATATGGTATAAGTTCATATGAAAAAGTATGTTAGTCCTTACCACAGAAGCCAGAGGTGAGCCATATACTGCTACAGTAAAACCACTCGCAATGAATCCAAGATGGAAGACAGCTGTATCAAAGTCAGCAGTGTAGTACTTAACATAAGTCAATAGTGAACATACTCCAAAAAATGAATACATTAATCTCTGCATTAGCAGCTTCTGTGAAAAAAATTGGGAAGTGGAAATAAAGTATAAATAATTTGTAATGCTTTAGAATAATCTTCATCAACCACAATGACAATAAAAAATATTTCAACTGCCATTTAAATATATAGATATGGACTTTCTTGACTCAATATCTCACAAGTGAGTACAGCAAATAAGTGAGGTATTGCGTTGAACAACATAAGAGAAAATCTACGTCTACAAACAACCATGTATTATTCTGTTTATCATATAAACACCATAGGCCTTTACACATCGAAACAGGCTATTGGCATACATTATTGTTCTAGATTTTCATTCTTAGCCATGAGAAATGTCATTACTAGAGCCAAAAGTCACTTTTGTTTCTTCTTCTCATGTTTTGGCTTCCAATTCAGCTTTTAGCAAATTTTGAATACCATGGTCTGTGAGTGATACAAAAAAATTTTTTTCTTGATTTTGCTATATCAAGAATATATTTTACCATCCTTTGCATTCTGTTTACAATCATCTACTTACCTTATCTCTTGTATTAATATAATAAAATAGTAGATATGCAGACTGTGTAATCATTCCTAGTATTCCTATGGTGTAAATAGGGGTGTCATCTACTAGGATGCCATACTTTGTCCAAAGAATGGAACTGAAGTTGAAACAAAATGTAAAACAATGTGAATTGATAAAATCATCATGTTTCCAATTTTTTTTATCCAAGTCAAGAGGTGCATGCCACATGCAAGGGTTTCATATAAGTCTAATTAGAACAAAGGGGAGCATCTAGATTTGGGACATCTAGATTTGGCACATCTAGATTTGGGACATCTAGATTTGGGACATCTAGATTTGGCACATCTAGATTCGGGACATCTAGATTTGGCACATCTAGATTTGGGACATCTAGATTTGGCACATCTAGATTTGGCACCTGGGTATAATAAAGCAAATCTCAAAGAGTCTTGCCTCCTCTCATTGGTGGTCAAGAGGTGTTTCCTTTGGAAAAACTTCAATTACAGCCATGCATTTTCCCTAAGTTTGACAAAGCATTTAAAGTGCTTTGCTGAAGAACACAACACAACAACCTGACCAATTCTCTGACCCAGATCTCCTGACCCATACTTCAGCATGCTGACTGTGAGACTTTTGCATCTCCCTTAACCCTTTAACCCTTAGGAGTGACCAGCTTCTAATTTCTCCATACAATATCACCCCTGAATCAAACATTAAGGTCACGAGAATCAAGGAAATGATCACCAACTTATAAAGCTCTTGATTTTTAAACAAATTCTCCTTGTCAGCACTTCAGGAAATGTATAGAGAACAGTATGGAGAATATACATACTAATGTTAGGGAGTAAAGGGTTAAAGATTTATTCTATCCATACATTTCTCATTTTAATCCTAATGGAAAGATGCACTGTGGTAAACAATCCCAGAAGCCTCGAGGAGTTAAAAGTCTAAATTAAAATAGTCAGGGCCGCTCTAAACACAAATATATTTTTAACATACCTTAAACATGTTGACAAGAATGGGAAAAAAGTTATGTTCTTTGTACTGCCTTGTTGTTTTATTTTCAAACAGACTTGTCTAGAAAAAGGATGGAAAACTTGATCAATCTTTTACCCTTTAAGTCCCACTGGTGACCTAGAAAGAATTTCTCCTTACATTATCAGTACAATATCAAGCAGACAAGTAATGAGAATAAAGAAAAATATCAATTAGGGGATTATTGGTTGATCCAATTGCAAATTATCCAAACTAACATCACATGAATTGTATGGCAGACAGTAGGGAGAATTGCCAATGAAATCTTGGGAGTTAAAGGATTAACTGTAGTTTAATTGTACAATTTCAGGAGATTTACAAGCAATAACAAGTACGATGCATACAATATCCTATTAGTTCTAAAATTAGGCCGGTGATAACCATTCACATTTCAGAATTTTGTCATAGTTTTGATTAAAACCATTTACAAACCACTACACACAAACTGAGGGATACATTTATTTCCTGAGGAAGAAAATTCTAAGAATAGTTCCCTTCCCTCAGCCTGAGAGCTAATTTATGAACTTAACTAACCCTGAGCTATATCTCAAGGTTTTAGATAAAGCTATGGTGCAAATAGTGAGACCAACTAACCATCTCAGTAGAAAAACATCAGAATAAAAGGGGTAATTTTCTAAATAAAGTATGGCATTGTATCAGTGTGCAGTATTACAAAGTAGTTTGCAGTATTACAAAATAGTTTGATTTATCGGTTGGGTTGATAAAGTAAACTGGTCACCATAAAGAGTATCTGAAGCTGGCATTTCAAACATAGTTCCTTCATCATAGCAAATGGTCATTTGCTCTGACTTTTTCACTCTCTCATCATTTTCTCTGATGAAGGGCTAACACTCAAAACATCATCTTTTGAAACTCTTTACGTTGTTAAATTAACATTATCAACTAAGTTGATAAAACCAAAATCACCATGGCAAAAAAAAACATTCCAGCTTCACAACATTTTCTTTTTTTTTTCAGCCTGCTGCGTAAAATATACTTTTTTCGTTTTTAAAATGAATGATTGGATCTCAAAATTCGCATATTAAAAAAAAAATACACGTTCAGTGAAGCGATCCGTACATTGCAGAAAGGAACAACAGGAAGCCTCAATTAAGAGAGACCTAATTTTAATTAATAATACGATCAGCCAATGGTGAGACGACAAATAATCTTTGTTACGCGAACATTACCTTTTACCTAAGAGTTGCTAGGATAAAAAATAAAGGGAGCCAACAAAAGCTCCTTTCAAAAGCAAAATAGCAACTAAGTTTCTTAATTTTTGGTCTTAATAAGTTAATTTGAAGGAAAATGAACTGAAGAAAAGATCAAAACGCTGAACAAATGGTTAAATGCGCGGTTCCATGCGTGCCACTGATTGCAAATTTACCAATGTGTTAGAAATTTAGCCTATATTTACAAAAGGATTTTAATTTACTTACATCCCTGTTGAAAGAAGTCCAAACTGGCAAATCGTTGCTGTCCATGATATGTACTGTTTAACATCCATGGGAATCATGTAATCGGCAACATCTTTATGTAACTACGGAGGACGAACTCAGCGAAAGTACCGTTAGCTGCGTTAGGGAAACTGGGAACGACAACACTAGTCCGCATGCAACGCCTGGTTAAAATCTTGTATTTGCAATCGAGTAAAACGCACAGCCAGCGAGTACAGAGGGAAACGATTTTTGGTGAAGAATGTCACAAATGGCTGTTAATGAGGCTAAAAAAGTTCTGCGACGCGAGTTGAAGAAAAGAATTGCAGCTATGACAGATGAAGCAAAACTAACGGAATCTACTTCGATTGTGAACAAAGTAAATCAGAGCCCTTGTGCATTTGGTTTGTAAGATCTTAGCTGATGTGGACACCACTGTTGTTCTTGTCAATTGATTAACTGTATTGTGTTATCTCGCAAGCTTCTTCGAATGGAGGAATACAAATCAAGCAAGCGAATCTCAGTCTATCTCAGCATGTCTTCTGAAGTTCAAACCGAAGGAATATTGAAGGTCAGAGACTTAAGAGAGTCATTTTATTATCTCTTACTTCTCTACCATCTCAGTTATGATTTACCATATTTCTGCTCTTACCTCTGTTGCAGGAGCTTTTCCAGGCAAAGAAGTAAGTATGATGCCTAAATTTAACTCATGTAAAACCTTTAAAATATGTTAGGTTGGCACTTCCTCTCACAATCGACCAAGGCCAGTCACTATAGATTTTGTCCGGTCAACTCTTTGAATGGCCGAATATTTTGTGCAATTGCTTACACATGTAAAGAAGAGTTTAATTCCAAACTAAGTTTAGGTGTTAAATACGACTGCATCAATTTTCCAGCACTGAGTTGGGATTTTTTTTTGTAAAGGGGGATTAATTGTCTATGACGTAATGAATATTTGTCCGGCCAAAAATGGACTGCAAAAGAAAATGACAAGGAATTAGAAAAAAGGAAACAGTTACAAACAACGACTAACTTCAGGTTTCAATAAATACATTTTATTAAAAATGACATGTTTCCACCAAAAATTCTGTTCAAAGTAGTTTGAAATACACATAACAAATGAAATCAGATATGAAGTCTTGAATTATGAGTTCTTATTCCTGTAGAGCTTTTTCTTCTTGGGATTTTCCCAGACTCGTTTGTTTGACTGAGACTGACGTCTTGGTGGTAATCTCCAGGAAGCTTCTTCGGCTTCTTTCCATTCTTTATAAGCTTGCCTGTTAGGAAAAATTGTAGTAAAGAAACAAACCCGAGAGAAATTTATTCAAAATGACAAAAACTCTTTTGGAATGGGTCAGTTTAGATAAAAATAAGGATTCAGTTAAAAGAGCGGTGGCAAGCGACTGCACCTTTGAAACGTGCAAAAAACGACGGGTAGTTGCATTTTCGCATTTTTTTAAATTTTCATCGGAAAGTAAATTTCGGAATAGTTTGTCAAAAGTCAACGTAAAGAAGGCAGAACAAGTGGTCTTTCGAAAGAGCTGCCGACAACAACGATGTATGAAAGTGTTGAAATACCTCAGTCAAATTTTTTTTGATACGGTGTTTCGTTCTTCTACTCACCGTCTTCGCGAGATCGACTTAACAGGCCACGAAATCAACATGTACACAGCCAGCACAACACAGTTCATTAGCAATACGACTGAGATCGTGTAACCAGTTTCACGCCAGGTCGAGACAATAATGTGGCTTTTAATTCTGAGAAGATGGTCTGTTAGGAAAGTAAACAAAAAAATGACATTAAAGAAATTTAAGCTTGATTCGGCCATCTCTCGATCATACAGGAATATTTCCAAGGATTTTCACACAGTCCGCAGGGATATCTGTCACAAGGCTTTCGACTCACCGTGAACGTATTCATTGTAAAACTTGATAAAAAGTGAAAACGTCTCCAAAACGTACTCGAGCGCAGGTTTAAGTGGTTTACCGTTCCTTTTAATCGTTTTCCATGACCAATCGATCAACCGTTTCGCTTCCCCCCATGCCCACTCGGCCCACTGTTTTGAACCAATCCATGCCTTCTTAGTTAACCATGAAGCATTTTCCTTTGAGACGCCGCTCAACCACTCAATCTGATCCCAAATCCATTCCGTTCCGTTCCAAGCACATTCGGCTAACCATTCAGCACAGACCCAGTACCTCTCAGCCACCCATAAGCCTCCATGGTAAACACATTCATCTGCCCACATCATCGTTGCAAAAATCCATTCTGCCAACCTTTTGAGTCTGTTCCAGATTTCTCCGACGCAATCCGTCAATCCTTTCCAAATTCTACCGACCCACTCCAACGTTCCTTTCCAAATGTTACGAGCCAAATTGATCAACCATTTCAATGCATTCCAAATGTTCTTAGCCGTTGTTCCAACGCCGTTAGAACACATTTTCCAAGCTTCAACCACTGTTGTCACCATAAAGCTCCACGTGTTTTTTACCATCGTCCCCACACGAGCGATTAGACCTGGTTCTTTCCGTTTGTACTCTTGGTAATCAGAACATGTCATATTCCCAGGGTACTCCGGTAGTTCTTTGCACTTGAGAATCTGAGAGATATAAATGGGCGAAAAACAATATGGCCACCATAGATATCTAAGATTGTTTTCAACTGTATATCTCTTGGCTCTTTTTTGACTAGAAACTCACGAGAAAAACAGTAGGAAGCCTTGCTATGGAGAAACGCAGTATTTGTTGATGGCAAACCATATTGCAAAAGAAATTTAAGTGATTGTCATTTTAAATACCTTTCCAAGGTTTGGTGGATCGTTCCCAAAAGGTGGACCGTTCAAATCTTGAGAGCCTTTTTTGCCGGGAAAAACAAGTTTCATATCCAGATCCAGTGACGACATTTGAATCCTTATCACATATTCCTATCAGGAGGAAAGGAACGACATGTTAGATTACGTTCAGGCTATTAGGTGTTATTACGGATTTTGATCGTTAGTTACCGAAAAAACCAACGATGATCAAAATAATAATTTTTCTTGAATTTAATCGTATACATCAGAAAAAAAAGGTTTCATTTTCGCACTCCATTTCTGTAAACAACTTCATGTAAAATGTACTTCAGCTCTCCAAGACAGATGAACTCGTAGCATTTGCCGATGTTGTTCTTAAATATACCGACCAACCTTTCCGTTCCAAGTTCCGACTACGGAGGTGTCTCCGTTGAAATCTTCGAACGGAAGTTTTTGCCATTCAATGGCTTGAAAATCATCTAGTGTAAAAAGGTAATAGCATCAGTATTGCCATTATTTTGTAACTATTTTTTTTAAAGTAATATCCAGTATAAATACATATATGAGTAGGAACTTTTTTACTAATCGACACCAAAAGGTTTGGGTAGAAAAAAGGGATTGTGAGAGGGAACGAAAAAAAGTAATCGTCGAAGCGCGCGTCTCAGTGAAAAGAAAAAAAATGCACCTTGCTCCGGGCGCACGCGCCTAAAATTAGCGAAGGCAACCATGGCAACTCCAAACTTGTTTATTCTCCCGAAAAAGGGTGAAAAGTTGCAAAATGCCCCGTCGGCAAAGCACTCATTTTGTTTTGGAGAATTTTGAAGAATGTCACTTTTAGCAAATGAAACCCGATAGAACCGTAAGTCGTTGGGAAACGTTTTTGGTTTGCTAAGAAGGTTAAAAGCGTTTCATTACATTTTCTGGTCCAAATGGTGCAAATGTGCTGGGAAAAAGCAGAACTTTTGGAAACCTTTGAAATTTTTTTAAAACAGAGCTGAAACCTACCTTCGTGTCTTGTAGCTGGTGTAACCGCTGTTAATTGAAGCACAATTGCCAACGCAGCGATCAAAATCACAATCCTCCTCATTGTTGTGGTGCGCTTTTTCTCACAAAAAAACCCGCACAGCTTTGATCCGAGATAAAGAGCGTAGTGATGGTTTGACGTCACAACACTGTTAATGACGCAGCGTGCGCGAGATAAGGCAGCGAAAGTTGGTCCCAGGCTCCTTCTTGTTTTTTAACTGAAAACACGCTCTTTTTGGTTTTCGGGAATTGGTTTCGTTTCCTTCAAAATTGCAGGGAAAAGAAAATCATGCTCAAAATGAAATCACACGGCATCTCTCTGAGATTATGTAATTCGATAAACAGCCTACTTTTTTATTTTTATTTTTTAAATATTTTTTTCAGGGAATGTTTTATTCCTCGATATATTGGCCTAAACATGGACATGGTTAAACTTCACTCCATGGAAGACATGATGTCCTTACCAGTTACTTCCTGGAATATACAACAACCTGCAGGTGAATTTTAAATACTTAATATTTACAACTTATTCGATGGTTTGACGTATAACACGCGCGGACATTTAGCGAGTTGCGTAGTATTTTAGAATTACATTTTTAGTATTTTGGCGTCTAGTTTCCCCTATGACTTTATCTTAGCATCGTATCGATCGTATAAGGTGTGCGCGAAAGACGAAAACAACACAAAAGAAACCATTAAAGCGTTCTTTACGACCACAAAAATAATCTGTCGCACTTTAAGTTTGTTACTTTAAAAGTCAAGCCCGAAAAACGATAAAAAAGAAAATTTGGATCATTTAGTGAGGCTATTTTGCTCTCCGTTCGTATTTTCGCCCTGTTCTACTGAGAAATACCGTTGCATATTTTGTGCGTTCCGTTGCCCTAATTTGGTAAAATGCGCAATAGTGAAATATTACTTTTCAGTACTTATACGGCTCTGCTCCAATACTGCTCCAGTCTAATTAACCTACCTGTGACAATGTAACAACTTTACTGATCTAATATGACATGGAGTACTGTTTCAATATTGTCCAGTGTTTAAGCAGAGCAAAGTCGCTTCGTTTTGGGATTGATTTCTCTAATGATCCTTTTCTTGTTCAGAGGATGATGAAAGAGAAGAAGCCATCTCTTCAGGGGGACTGGATCTTATCGTTGTTCCAGGACTTGGTTTCACAAAGGTCTGCATTTAAATACCAGCGATGATACTAATTTTTTGTTTAAAGGGTTGGATATACAACTGTAGAGTAATGCGTGAATCAGACCAAGTGCTCTACACAGCTGCTTTATTGGAATACTAATAGCGGAGCTCGCAGAGCGCAGCCCCATAATTATACAAAATAGTAATAACCCATCAAGCCGAAAAAATTTGGATGTACGACCGTACGACCGCACAAGGTGCTACTTTTAACATGCGTGGTCAACTGTACCGCGGGCACGCTAATGCCACGGCTTTGATCAGTAGTCCAATGGTCAGTGCACTGGGCTCCGAGTCGGACGACCCGGGTTCTAGTCCTGGCCGGGGCAAGGCGTTGTGCCCTCGAGACGTGCGGGAAAAAAATGCGAGCTCCACTTTTTGGCTTGGCTAAATCTATATATTAAACTTGATTATATAAAATGATATATATAAGGATAATCACGTGACGGCGGTTAAGGGTGTGCTAGACAATGAATACAGATTATCTTATATCTAAAGTAGTTATCAAAATATGGGAACAAACACTACAAGTGATAATAATAATAATAATGATAACAGTAATGATAAAGGGATGATAGTAATGATAATAAAGATTACTAACAGTGACATGGACGATAATGGTGATAATTTAAATGATGATAATGATGACGACAATAAAAAAGATAGTAAAAGATAACTTTAGTAACCATAATGAAATATAACAATCAATCAATAATCAAAGTCGACAGATTTTTAAAGATATTTTATGTTATTTTCCTTAGCAAACATATCAGTAATGTATTTATATTTAAATTTTTATTGTTATCGACATATGTAAAAAAATATAGAATTATACATTCCATTATAAATAGATTTTAGCACTTGAAATGAAGATACCATTATTGAATCAATAATCATAATTGTTGTAAAAATGATAAATAATATTCATGATGATAATGATAATACGTACTGCAGTAACAATATTCAAGTTAAAGTATTTTTTGCGTATTAATTTGAACTTTTTTGGAAACAATTCTTTGAGGAACTATTTTGCCAAGTAATTAGGAAGGAGTCATTCCTCTAACTGAGAATAATCTTAGAATTCCAACCCTCCTCTTTGATTACTTCAAGAAAATGAATTCTAGATGACGTAAGGTGTGGGTTAGCTTATGTAGCGTATCCATGTCTGCTTGGTAGTGTAATGCCAATGTCGCTAACGGTTTGGTTTCCATTGCATTTCTTTTTCATAGAATGGCCTCCGTCTTGGCAGAGGAAAGGTAACCATTGACAACGTAGACCTAGAAATTATAAGTTGTTTTGAGTTATTAAGTGTTATTTGTGTAAAATGTTTTCGATTTTGTTCTGTTAGGGTTATTATGACTCGTACATCATGAAGTGCATTCAAACGTGCAAAAAGAAGCCGCTTTTGATCGGTAAGAGTTATTTTTTTCTTCATTTTTTTCACCTCGCCTCGGTTTGGACTGTATGCATAACGAAATCACTATCAATGCGCTTGGTCCTGAAGAGCTATCATAGTATTTTTATATTGTATTTCTTTCCGCTTATCTTTCATTTTCCACTTTCTTCTCCAGGTTTGGCTTTTAGTTCTCAGATCTGCGACGACCTACCAGTCACAGAAAGAGACATGCCTTTGGATCATGTGATCACAAGTGAACCAGATTAGAAAATTGGCGAATTCAGAGTAATATTATTAAAGGGGAAAATAAACTAATCAAGAAAGAAAAAATGAAAATGTCACTCTCGAGAACTACATTACACAAACGCTGGTAATTTTCTTATTTTGAAAAGCTGATCAAAGACAGGCTTGCAAAAGTTGTCAATAAGTCAGTGACAGTGTCGCCATTCGGGACACAAAAGACGATTTGCCACACATGTTTAGTATTCTATTCAAGGGTTTGTGGATGTATTTCACTTAACTAATGTTTTAAATTGGAGCAGCCATTTCTAAGTGTCGCAACTCAAAATGTCGCAAATTGAACACCTGCGCAGCCGATAAATTTCATATTCTCTTTTTGTAATAGACAAACAACTAACCCAGGCGTGCAGTGAGAAGTACGCATGCGGATACCTTTCGTAGTGCGTTTTCTGATTCCACGCTTCCAACGTGTTTGATTTTTCTACCAACGTGGCGCTGTTAATTTCATAGTTCGGAAATGTATTAACCAAATGCCATTAAGAAAAACAGATGAATAGAATGGAAAATAAATTAAAATGATGCAGCTGAATTGTGGTGTAATTTAAAATTTAATCGGTGTCCTAGTATTAAGGACACTTGGTATTTCTTATGTTAAGCAAGAGATCCAGAAATTATAAAAAAGAGAATTATTACTGCAATATTATGTGGTAAAATACACGAAAAAGTGTTTTTAAACAGCTCTTTGAAGTTGCATATTACATTAGATGTTATCGCAAAGTTGTTTTTACGATCGAAACTGAAGACAAATGGAAACAAAAATTCTTCAAATTATGGGTTTAATTTTTCTTTTTTAAAGGAGTGTGACATGACACAAAAAATATACGACTTATTTTATCTGTTTTCTCGATTTCTATTCCTTATTGATAAAATTTAAACAAAAATCCTTTCTATTTATGAAATAATAACACACCAAAAATGCCCCTTGACGCTCATGGAAAATTATTTTAGAGTTAATTAAGTGTGTGTGACGTCGTTATTGTAAAGATATTAATTATACATAACTCGCTAGGCCAAACTGTTGGTCTGTTTTCAACAGTACGAGAAATGTTTTTGCATCAATTCGAGGAGTTTGGCAGCAGATAGACGAAACGAAATGGAAGATATACGAACGGCCCTGTGGTAATCCACGCTTTTTGATAACGCTATGTTTTGAATGTAAGTGAATTTGGAATCAAAACTGTTTTTCTTGGCGATTGAATTGTAAATATTAGAATTTCATGTTACAATTTCTCGTTGTGTTTATTCCGTTTTATCACAGTTCTGTCCTTTCGAAGATAAAACTGATCCTACATTCAATTATCAAGGGCGCGAAGCTAATGTTAGGGATAAAACCGGCGCTAAGCATTGAAATGTGGCTTTAAAGTCGCGGAAAGGTCGGCGAGAAAAGCAAAATAATAGTTCCCAAGTGACTTTAGTCTGAACAAGTCAGAATTGCAGGTTTCAAAGCGCGAAATCTCGACAGCTAGATAGCTGAATCCCTTATGATTTTCCAATCTTTAAACCTGAATTTCTGTATCTCCATTCCATAGTTTAGCTCGCATAAAAGGCGTTCGCCCGCGTTTCTCATTTACGTTAAAACGCACTTATTTCTCCAACTCCCCGCAGTTCTGCAGAATATGCTTTCTTGATGATGAATTCGCATACCCTGGCAATTAGCTTGTTGACTTAGCGGTTCCAGAAAAAATGCTGGCTTTTTCCGGTTTATTTGACTGCATACTAAACAAATGCAGGCTAGTTTATTTCTAAATTCATACATTCGTCTTTGAAGACATGGGCGAGAAGAAAATTATATTTAAACTAAGACACCCTAAAGGGCATTCGCAAAATATCACCAGCTTAGCTATGTACATCTTCCTCTTTGAAAATATTTTTCCTTGGAATAATCTGTACAGAAGTGGCAAATTCTGACTGAATTAAGAAGATGTTCTATAAAGCAGCCGTAAATTTGCAATAAACATTTTAATTTCTCCGTTTGCTTTTCACGCGCAGGTTGAGTTTCACAAACAGCTGTTTATATAAAGTTTCATAAAACATTAACAGTCAGAACAGCTTCCAAAAAAAATTACTGTTTAGGTAATTAAAATAAGGATTATTTATTTACATGGTTAAACCATTAAGTGTGCATTTTGTTTCAGATAACGGGCAGCCCCTCCTCAGCGGTGAAGTCCGTCACGTGAGTAATAAAGTAATTGGAAAAAAATTAATTTGAGGCTACTAGTTCCGGAGTTCCGCACGGCACCCTAACATCAACTTAATATTTTTTCACTGATTTTTTTCACTCGTGCGACGTACTTCGCCGAAAGGGAGTCTGCTTGTGGTCTTGCTTTGTTTCTATTGGGGCGTAATGCCAATATCAGAGGTTTTTTTCTTGGATTTGATCCACAGAAATAGCAATTCCTCGGCCCTGTATCTGTGACGGGAATCAAAGCGACCACCTTGCGATGTCTTCAGTTGGAAGTACTTTTTTAAAGAGGGCTCTTTTGTTTTTAGTGTTCGGATTTGTAAATGCTGCAATTTTTACTCTTATCGAGAGGCGTGGAGAAAATTACAAGACCACCTCAGATAGAATGTTAGACCAACTGAGGAAGAATTTTACGAAACACCACAACTTCTCGGACGAAGAATTCGAGTATTTTACAATGGCCTCATATAACGCCGTTCGCACGGGTTTGTCTTTGGACTGGACCTATTTTAGGGCTGTGGATTTCACGTACACAGCGATGACCACAATTGGTGAGTCTCTGATCCTTGACAAAGCTATTTTTCTCTCAGCTTCTGGTAAAAAGGATCAGTCCGCCCTATTTTGACAAGTTTATCCTTGTTATATTATTTGCCTTGTTAGAGATAAACTTTAGTTTTTCCATTGACAAAATCGTTGAAAAAACACCAACACGCTATGAGTTTTTTAACAAGGAGAGCTCTCAAGGAAAGAAATGACAGCGACAAAATTAGCTTAGAAGTGTAAATGACTTTACTTGAAAAGCTCTTTTCTGTTTCCATTTTTTGTTTCCATTTGAAATTTGATTCCAAAAAATTGTAAGTGAACTAATCCTTTAAATACCTTCACTCTTGGACAACTGTTCACTTCTCTAAAAAAATAAATTTTTCGGAAAACTGATAGAGCGTAACTTAGCACCAAAAGGAGGCTATTTTTAAATACCGGAGATAATGTTATTTGGCGTCTGGGAAAAACCTCTCCACTTTAAACCAACCTCGACCAATAATTTTCGTTTTCCCGCGCATCGTGCAATTTGAGCTCCAATTGGCTCTTGTGACATTTCCTCTGTTTTCTTCGGCTGTCGTGGTTTTTGCGTCGACCGCGACCAATAACTTGCGTTTTCCCGCGATTCATGCCATTTGAGTTCTTATTAGCTCTTGTGACATTTCCTCTGTTTTCTTTGGCTGTCGTGGTTTTTGTGTCGACCACGACCAATAACTTGCGTTTTCCCGCGATTTATGCCCTTTGAGTTCTTATTGGCTCTTGTGACATTTCCTTTGTTTCTTTGGCTGTCGTGGTTTTTGTGTCGACTAAGACCAATAACTTGCGTTTTCCCGCGCTTCATGCCATTTGAGTTTTTAATGGCTCTTGTGACATTTCCTTTGTTTTCTTTGGCTGTCGTGGTTTTACGATGCCTTCCTTTTTTCAGAACTTTCAGCAATGATTGGGGGCCACCTGTGCCGTAGCAATTATGGGTACGTGTAATTGTTATCGTACATAACTTTTTTATATTATTATTTTTGCAGGGTACGGTCGTCTGACTCCTATCACCACATACGGGAAACTGTTCTGCATCGTTTTTTGTATGTTTGGAATTCCACTATGTCTGCTGACTCTAAAATCTGCGGGCGAACTTATTTCAATATTTCTGACTTGTGTGATAACTCACGTGGAGATTAAAGTTCTTAAAACAAAAAGAGTAAAACACCTTGAGATTAAACGCGCTATACTTGCGTTTAATTTAATGGCAATGTATCTCTCGTTCACTGCAGTCACACAAGTGATGCAGGAACACTGGACATTCGTGGATGCTTTTTACGCCTCGTTTGTAACATTTTCTACTGTCGGTTTTGGAGATTATGTTCTTTTTGAAAGTGTTACAGGGCAAGGCAAAAACGGAGCTGCAAGCACGTTTTTTCACGTGTTTGCAACTTTCCCGGCGCTTTTCGGACTGGGGATTGTGGCTTGTGTGATCAACTGTGTTTTAGATGTTGTTGAGAAGAACCGTTTACACATTAGCGATGGTAGACCAGGGAGAAGGAAAAATGGAGAGTTGGTAAAACTTCTATCTTTTAGTAAACTGGAAGAAGGTAGACGCTGCAGAAGGTCTCATAGTGTATGAAAG